TTAATCCTAATCGCCCTTGAGACATTAAGGATGGAGCCCATTGAAACTGAGATCCATTGGAATTACTACTTACTAGGATTGGGACCTGTTATTACAGTACTAAGTCCAGTCCAAGATGATACTAAATGTTACATAATACTGTACTTCATTGAGATATAAGCACAGGATATATCAGGTGCCACGAAGAGAGCTCGGGTTCTCAATTGGCTCAACCATGTTAATATTATTATTATCCGCTCTGTATCTGTATTTTTCTGGCTAAATAAACTGTTTAAATATGAATATATAAATATCAATACCAATGGTTAGGTTAGGTTGTTTCCAATTAGGGCTGGGACCTGTAAAGCAGGATAATAAAACCATGACAGCATGGTGAGGGTCATTTTATCCCAGTGTAGCAAAAACTTTCCAGGAGAAATGCGGATGCCTCTAAAATAGGTGAGTGTGATCACTGTGCCCAGTTGAATGGAGAGGGTTGACCAAAGATACAAGTCTATAAGACTATATAGTCTTTGGCTCTGACGAGAAGAAGGTGGGAGGGGGAGGACTCCGATACACTCATCGACAGCGTAAGGGAAGGAGAGGGGCAGACTTTCATATAGACAGCGACGAGATCACAGGCCACCGCAATGACAGTGTAAGGATGAGGAGTGGGAAAAGCGTACGTTCCTTTAAAACCGTTGTGCGATGCGAAGGACTCCAGACTTAGCTGATGAATAAAACAATAATCAACGAACATGATAACTTGGACGTACCTGAGATATGGCGTGTTAATGTTCCTCGAAGAGCAGCTGCTTTAACTCGCTTACCTAAAAAAAGAAAATGAAAAATTTGAGATTACCTGCCGTCTATCCCTCCCACACACACACACACACACACCTATAATATTATTCACACTTAACTTACAGGAACTAGGGCAGAACTAATAACCTTAAGCATTAATTTATGCCAAATGGATGATAAAACTTTATTTCAAAATGTCAAGAACATAACAGTAGTAGTATTGTTACCTTGTACCGGTGGTCGCGGAAGCGCACCGCTTTGACACTTTTATGACACTTCATGGCCCTTGAAGACACCTTGCTCTACTCTATGACACACCTACAGTCCTACACCTATGGCATTTCCTGCGCAAATCTATAATTTTCAAGTATTTTAACCGATAAAATTACTAACAATATTGGATGTTCAAAGTGGGCAGAATTTTGAAGTCGAGGGAAAATGTTGGGTAAAATAAGAAAAATGAACACCAAACAAACCTTTGAAAACTTTACCTAACCTATAAAAATCCCAAAACAATAAACTACTTACGTTATTCTTGTTTTCTGTGTTTAATGTGTTGGTGTAGTTTTCGGTGTTCAGATGATGAGGAGGGGGGGGGGGTGTTATCCATGAACTCGAAAGCGATTTTTAACCTTTTCCTAGGTTAGGTTAGGTTTGGTAAGGGCTTCAACGGTTTGTTTGGTGGTACATGTTTTAGTATTTTACCCAACATTTTCCCTCGACTTCAAAACCCTGCTCACTTTGAACAGCCAATATTGTTAGTAATTTTATCGGTTAAAATACTCGAAAAATATAAATTTGAGCAGGAAATGACAGAAGAAAGTCGATTCCTAGCTAAAAAAAAAAATAGTTTGTCATCCTGAGAATCTTGGGAATTTAGGTTAGGTTAGATTGAGTTCCTGGGTTCTGTGGCTAGATTAGATTAGGTTAAATTAGGTTTGAATATCTAAATACAGGGATGACCGAAACGAAAATTTTACCAAAATTAATTCTAGTGATGATAAACAAAAATAAGAAATACCTATTGGGGTAAAAACGAATATTAACCACTCCAACACCTTATGCCACTTTACGACACTTTATAACGCTTATGACACCTATGAATGTTTTTGGCGCCCACAATTACTGACACTAATAAATCTTCATGACACAAACACTTTACAGCACTTATAAACATTCCACGTTACTTTGGAACGCATTATGATACATGTGATCACTTCGCAATACAAATGAAAATTTTACGGCACTTAAAATCACTTTTTGAAACTTAAGACCACCTTGAGACACTGTGTAACTACTTTACGGCACTGTAAGCAACACTGTGACGATACAATTCATGACAAACACTTGATACTTTTCAGTTCTCAATTTCGGTCTCTTCACCGGGTATTTGTTTGTACATACAACCAGCGTATACTTCCTTTCTGCACTATGGCAGCGGCAGCACTGTGGTACTGCCTACTTCTTGTCTTGTAAGGCCTCTGTTCAGATTCTCATAAATCCGAAACCGCGAAACGAGGCAGATTCAAGTCTGGGGCGAACCGGAGAAGCCTCGTCCCAGATGTTATAATGGACTGAGTTTGATCGTGTACTCACTCGTGTCTTCACTCATGTAGCTTTAGAAATCCTTGTCTTTATTTGTTCTAATTATAAAGTATAAGGCAATGTATTACACAAGATTATATGTCAATATTTTAGTTCGTATAATTGTCTCGTTTTTGGATGATTGAGTCTGATGTATAGAAAAGCTGTTCCCGAACCCTCGAAACACCTACGTCATCGATGTCCCAAAGTGGTGTCAGTCAACTAGTGACAAAATGTATCCAGAATTGTTTATATTGTTTTCCCGCTTTTTTGCGTTTTAAATACAAAGAAACAAACGGAAATGAGATACATCTGTAATAAACATAGTTAATAACGATATAATATTTTTTTTTTAAATATTATCTTATTCGAAAGCCAACGCTTTCGAAGGCGCGTTTGTTGTCTCAGGACAAAAACAACCCAGACCACGACTAACCAAAGCTACCAACAGCCTCCGCACATCTGTCTGGTATATTGTGTGGTTTAATATTTTTGACAGACTACATATAACCAAAAGAAAGTCAATCACCTTAAATTTAATTCATGAAAGGTGTTCAAAGACTATATGTTAGGTATTTCTTAGTTTATCTTTGCAAACTAATCAAATTATTAACTACTGAATGGCAGCTTGGGGCAGTAGTTTACCTTGTGATTATCAGTAGTGGCAAACAAGTGTGGCGCCAGGGGTTCTAGGGGGGCTACAGCCCCCTCGTCTCTTGTTATGGAGCCCCACCCGCCTCGGGGAAATTCCACACAATTGTCGGGTAAAAGTCTGAGTGCCAATTATAATGATTGTAATTATAATTATTCAGCATAAATAAATTGTTCATTCCCAGAGTGTTTCTTACAGTCTGTTCATGAATACAGTACCAAAAAGGATATGCAGTGAATTTGCAAAACATTTAAATGCAAATTGTAATGCACTTAGTCATAAAATCTCTACTTTTAGATGCTTTCTTGAGAAAGTCACCCAGGAATGTCCAGACAGTTTCCTTAAACTTCATGCCTATTTAACAAAGTTAAAGGATGCCCTTTTTGAGCTAGATCAAATTGTAACTATAGTATGTATTCCCACTAAAAAATTATTCGGCACCCGTGTCATATTGTATCATTTCGTAAGGGTGCCGAATAATTTTTTATTGGGTGTACAACTTATTGGCATACATCGAGATGGCTTCTCTGGCCGGTCTGTACTGTACTGTACAGTACACCCACTAAAAAATTATTCAGCACCCTTACGGCGTGATACAATATAACACGGGTGCAGAATAATTTTTTAGTGGGTGTACGTTGCCAGTGTCTCCTAACCCTGATCAAACACGAAGTTCCCACGCGCTTTCGTGTAATTCACATCATTGTAATCATCATTAAGCGACGGGTAGATAAGGGTTGGAAGGCGAGGGGGAGGGACCGGGAATCACTGTCTCGGGTCACCCACCCTCCCCATTGTGTTAATGCTCGGGTAATCAAACATTACCCGCCTATCTTATGTTATTGTAGATGGGAATGTAGTGAATGTAGTCTAAATAATGGTGTAGTGGATGGAGCGAAAATGACAGTGTAGTGGATGTTGCGTAGATGACAGTGTAGTGAGTGTTGTGTAGATGACAGAGTAGTGGATGTTAGAACAAAAGAATGGAGGAAACTGCAGCGAGCGTATTAGCCCATACTATATAGGCAGCCCGTTTACACCCAATCCCAATCGCTCATATATCTATCCAACCTATATTTGAAGCTTCCCAGCGTGTTCGAGTTTATGATAATGTTCGGTAACTTGTTCCACTCATCCACTATATTTTTAAACAAGCGTTTACCTATCCTACACCCAAATCTAAAATTTTCTAATTTAAAAACAATGCTACGAGTTCGCTTCTCATTGGATAGTTTACATACCTTGGTTATAATTATCACCTTTGTTTAACCCTGACTTCCATTTATACACCTCGATCATATCGCTCCTCACTCGACGTCTCTCGAGGGAGATATTATAAAGTTTATTGGTAAGTGGATCCCTCGTAAACACGCCTGGGAACGCCGAGTGCCTTACCCCTGTACATGTCTGTCAGTATGTATGTGCAGTATACAGTATGTTCATCCGTCCGTTCATCTACCCACAAAAGTTCTCCCAATTGAAGATGAATAATCCTAAGTAGCCACATGTTGTATTAATATCTGTGATTCCTAACTTGCATTTTGATGATCATATCTATAAAAGATCCTCATATTTTACGTAATTCTTTGCGTGGACCTATTGTTAAAAGTGACTGGCAGTAATCATGGAAGATGACTTGATTTTATGAGACAACAGTTGGCGTGTTATGAAATATCTAAAAAGAAATATTCCTCTGTGATGTTAACACTGGTCTATGGTTGCTGATAATAATATAAAAAGGGGCTTTTCTCTGAAAGCGCTCATCCTACTATGGAATTTCTACATAGTAAGTGTATTTTATTAGCCTAGGTTCGTGTATACTGTAATTGGTATTTGTGATACAAAATACTCTTATGAGCAAATTTCTGTTCTCCATATTCATTGTTACATTTGCCTGTTAAAATTCAATACACACCCTCAGACACCCAGAGTCAAATTATATCAAAACTATACAGTATTTACAAAGTAAATAAAATAGAAGTAGTAGAAAAATGGTTTTATTCAAGATCGTTCCTTACAGCTAATGAAAAACTATGGTACAATAAATAAGATTACTGATTCATGGGTATTATTGTACTTTACAATTGTTTAGAAGCACTTCCTATGGACAATGGATGGACCAGATTCGTCATATTCTTGCTTGCTGATCCACATCTGCTGGAAGGTGGAGAGGGAAGCCAGGATGGAACCACCGATCCATACTGAATACTTGCGCTCTGGGGGTGCAATGATCTTGATCTTCATGGTGGATGGTGCCAGGGAAGTGATTTCTTTCTGCATCCTGTCAGCAATTCCAGGGTACATGGTGGTGCCACCAGACAGAACTGTGTTGGCGTAAAGGTCCTTACGGATATCTACGTCGCACTTCATTATGGAGTTGTAAGTAGTTTCGTGAATACCAGCATTTTCCATCCCAAGGAAGGAGGGCTGGAAGAGAGCCTCTGGGCAGCGGAACCTCTCATTACCGATAGTGATAACTTGACCGTCGGGAAGTTCGTAAGACTTTTCGAGTGAAGAAGACTGGGTTGAAGTTGCCATCTCCTCTTCAAAGTCGAGGGCGACGTAGCAGAGTTTCTCCTTGATGTCACGTACAATTTCTCGTTCAGCAGTAGTTGTGAAGGTGTAGCCACGCTCGGTCAGGATCGTCATCAAGTAATCTGTCAGGTCACGACCAGCCAAATCTAGACGCAGGATGGCATGAGGAAGGGCGTATCCCTCATAGATAGGAACAGTGTGTGACACACCATCACCAGAGTCTAATACAATACCTGTAGTGCGACCAGAGGCGTACAGGGAGAGCACAGCCTGGATTGACACATACATTGCGGGAGTGTTGAAGGTTTCAAACATGATCTGAGTCATCTTCTCACGGTTGGCTTTAGGGTTGAGGGGAGCCTCTGTCAATAGAACTGGGTGTTCCTCAGGTGCTACACGCAGCTCATTGTAGAAGGTATGATGCCAGATCTTTTCCATATCGTCCCAGTTGGTAACAACACCGTGTTCAATGGGATATTTGAGGGTTAGGATACCACGCTTACTCTGAGCCTCGTCACCCACATATGAGTCTTTCTGACCCATACCCACCATCACGCCCTGGGGAAGATACAATTCCGGGTTAGGTTATATGGTTACAACGAATCTGAAATTTATATCATCTAATTTTTCAAGACTTTGGAAAATATAAATATTTGAAATATATGTACCTGTATAATGTAAGACAACTCACCTGATGTCGAGGTCGGCCTACGATGGAAGGAAAGACGGCGCGGGGGGCATCGTCCCCAGCAAAACCAGCCTTGCACATGCCTGAGCCATTGTCCACAACCAGAGCTGCAACTTCGTCGTCACACATGTTGGTAGTTCTGCAACGACGAAATTTTTCGTTAGAATATTGTTAAAGGAATACTGTAGTCTTTTTTTTTTATTATTTATATTCTATAAAGTTTGATTCATTTTAGCCTCACTTTCGAAAATATTGCTCAACTACAGTATATCAAAAAGTTGTACTTAACTTTTGCTATCCTGTATAGCGACGCAAGACTTTAAAAAAAATATAGGTACAAGAAACTGAATGTTATTTTTCCAAACCCTGTTTTGCACTAAGATAAAAAGGTGTGAACGTATATATAGGAAAGTTTGTTACTACTTCTGTTGAACGTTTATTATGTATAATTATAATAAATGAATCAAGGTAAGTTAGGTGTTTCACTACTGTACTATATCACGAATCTACTAATTGCTATAAGGCTTTATGTTATTCTAATATTTTGTTCTATTGTCACTGTTGTGTTTGCTAATGACAGTATTGCATGTTATTTCAATAGTAATAGTGTTCTTCTAATAGAATTATCACCACTTTCTGCACTTGATGTCAACAAATAATGAATTTATTTAAGTAAAATTAAGTTTCTCCTGTAGGTTTCCTCTGCTGACCTTAAGTTATTCTACAGAAAATATTTTCCAGCACAAAAGTGAGATATATTTTCCATTCACTACGTCGATACCTACTTAATCACAGTCAGCTACCCGAGCTTGCCCCTTTAACCATCTATCTTTCAGCTGAAAAAACACAAACACTCTGGTTCAGCCACCTACCCAGGCAGAATAACCTTTGAATACAAAACTACTCACCAATACATAAACAATTTACCACTTACTGTTAGTGAGTGCAAAACGGGAAAAGCTGTAGTTACTGCGACGACGTCGTTTGCCAGTGTTATCTGTTCACCTGCCACCTCACCCACTACGCCCATCGCTTATATACAGTACGTTCACTCCACTATCTATGACCGAAGCTCACCATTCTCCAGTGTGTGACTACCATATTTGGTCGTATGCACTCGGGAAGTTGGAATATATTTTTCTTCGGTGAAAAAGAATAAGCATTTTTTTTTATACTTGTCGAACTCGTAAGCTGTAATGGAATAATCGTATCATATAAATGTTTAAGAAATGATGGCACGATAAATGTTTAACAAGTGATACCACTACAAAACAAATGTTAAACAACAATAGATCTTTAACAAAAGGTGATGGTAATGCTGTTTAGATGTCTTAAATTATGAAGAACTCATAGTTTTAATGTGACAAAATTTTAATCATATAAAAGAATAATGACATCAGAGAATTCTACGGTGTTTGTGACGTGAAAATTAACTTTGTTGATGCAATATGTTTATATTTCTCAAGGTTAGTTAACACAACAGCAATGTATACTGTACCTTCTAGAAACTATTATCTACAACTATATTAGTGTACTATTTATCGCATACCGCCTAGTATCATCTTTAATGAGATCAAGTAGATGAAAGCTATCGCTGTTAGATAGTTAACATACATTACGGAGAGCCTGTTGGCCTACTAATATTTGAACACTGTTTAGGTGAATTATAACGCTAGAACCATGAATAACAACATATTTATTAGTAACAAATGACACGAGTAGCTCATTTGTGACTATGACATTCGTTAAGCAATCATTCAAGCATGGGCTCACAATCACATTCGCGGTCTGATTGTCTAGCTATACCCCCACTCCTTTTCCCTAATGGCCTAATCCATCGTCAGGTATCTTGTAAATCAGGTTTGAAAAGGAGGTTTACTCGGTGGTTGCTCCATGTTTTCTTTTTGGCTTGCTCGCCCAGGCGGTATCTCTGGCACTTTTGGGACTATGAAGCTGGAAAATCTAAAATAATGCTGACCAAGTGCTTTAGCATTTTTTTTATTAATTCTTGTTTTTTCTTCTTAGCTTGTTTATCCGGGCGATATCTCAGAAATTCTTTGAGTTGTTTGGCCTGCCCCCAGTCACCGAACGTGACCATAAGGCCGGCGGACGACCTTCGTAGCCCCCTCTATACCTAAAGTAAAAAAAAAAAAAATCTTCAGGACGAGGAGGTTCAGCTTCTTAGGAGGAGTTGAAGATGGAGGAGAGACCTCACAGTCTTCACCTTCATCCACACGACTCTCATGGCTGAGGTCCTACCTATCTCTGAGTTGTGAAAACTTCGTACTGTACCTTCATAAGCTGCACGGACTGGGATTGCTTCGGGATCGAACTAAAGACCATTAGTTCTTCTATTGGTATTGACATTTTTTAATTATATGGTGCCCTAATTATACAAGGTTCAAAATTCCAAAGACATCTCTAGATGAAAAAGACTTTTCTAAGTGAGTTATCTATTACTGTACTAGTAACGTATTTCAGCGTTTGATTTGGAGTCCAATTTGCCGTGTTGTGGCTACTTTTGACCGTGCCTGTACTGTATTTGTCGGCAAAGATTACAGTTTTCAAGTTTGAAATTGATGAAGAATTATTTACGTTCAGATTCAGCAGTTTCAAGAAAGCCTGGATACCCTGGCTAGAATTTCTAATAAGCCAGAAGTTAGTCAGAATTTGGATTTGTTTGCTCAAAGGCACGAAAGGCTAAATTTTGATATTTTAATAACTTGGCAAATTTACATTCGGTATCCAACACAAGGAAGCAAGGTGACTGTCACTACTCTTTATCACCCTTTACTTTACTATGACCTTAATGTACCCATTCTGCAGCTGAAGCGAAAGAAGGCGCCGTTGACTCCGTTGAGTCAGACTCAGGCGGCGTGCTGTATTGTCTGTATCCATTCGGGCTCCCCCCCCCCTCTTCCCCGTATGTATGGTGTATGAACTGTGTACTGTAGTAAAGACGAGTGATGAGGTAAGTGGCAATACTGGTGTAATAAGAGGGTGATCTGAATTTCGTTTGATAATAGGCTATTAAAATAAATTGGTCAACTTTACTGCAATATAATATTAACGTACAATCACTGACAATTTTCTCTGCTACAGAACAAGTTTTCCTAACACGGACCAGTTGCTCAACAGCAAGTCTGGCTGACCTGCCAAAGGAAGAGTTGTCCGGCCGGTGATTCTGGAATAAGTTCATTGTATTTGTTATCAGTCAGGTGAGTAACTGTCTCATATGCTGTCGTCATCTTAATCTTATCTCACACTTGCATCACCATCCACCGGGGCCGCTCAAGTTATCGTGGGGAGGCACTCATCTATTCCAGGTCATCATCCATTTCCTGAGATTACAAACTGTAATTTCATATGTATCTCGAACGGAAATTAAGTTCATGACTTTTGACGTCCTATTAATCAGAATGTCATACACAGGAATGTACTGACAAGAAAGGAAATTCCACCCTTGAGTTATGTACAAAACTTTCAGGTGCTACTAAAAAGTGGAGCTACTATAGTATGCGGTCGACCTAGTTGGAGTTGTGTCTACCGGGATATTTACACTGTATTTACACCTAACTTAACCAAGGTTAGGTCAGATCAGGTTAAGATAGACCAACTCCAGCTCGGTAGACCGCATACTACAGTAGCACCTCTTTTCAGAAAAAGTAAACATTTCTTAGTAACAACAGGCGAAATTTTCAAGAGAAATTTCAGTGATGAACCTCGGGTATACACAAGAAAAAGGTCTTTGTGAAGGTGATGTAAGACCCGAGGAGTAAAGCTGGGATATGGATTATCATCTTCAGGAGAGGAAGGGGTGGATGAAGATTATTCGAGTGGAATAGGGTTATAGTAAAGTGTGGAGAACAGGGGAGGAAAAGAGAAGAGAGATAAAGAAAAAAGACAATACAATATTACAAAGTAGATAAGAAATTTTGGTTTACACTTGCTTGTAATAAGCACAAGAACTCAAAACCCTTCAATTTACTTATCAATTATATATATATATATATATATATATATATATATATATATATATATATATATATATATATATATATATATAATAATTATAAATATGAAACAGTATTTGTTATCATGGTAGCAGGTGTCACATACGGTATACAAGTACGTATACTGAAAAACACCGATGCAGTCACAGTGGTCTCGGTGCAATTCTAATATATCCTTTTCGATGATTTTGTCTATGCCGTTTTCCCTTCCTTGTGGCCTACCGCATGTGTGTGAAGCTTTGCATACAGCACTGTATATTACCCAACAGGTGGTACTACACGCTAACCTTTAATATCTTAATACAGCACTTTTATAAATTGTCTGTGGTACTTAAATATTAATGCTGGTCCTTTGAATTTGTTATATCTGTAATGTAAGCACAGTCGCATTGTTAATATTTACTGAATGATCCCAGCGGCGATAATAATTATCTTATCGGGAACTTACAACGCCATATCATGGTGTTGGAACGTACCTCCCCGAGTTCATAAGATAAGATCGTATCCTCTGCGCGCCTACACCTAAAACATAACCAAATATGGCCATCGCTCGACTCTTGCCCAAATATGGACACGTTTTCACGACACCCTACCTGTTATGGTCTTATCAGATAGTAACTATTCCGTTAATCGGTATATTTATGAACTCCTTAAGTATCTGTGATCTGCATTTTATCTTATTTAAAACAACCACCTGCACACATTGTGCAAGTGAAGTGTATTAGCAGGTAGACTTTTGATCCTATGTATACACCAAGGATCATGGTGATAGGAAGTGTGGATGTGGTGACAATGTGTAATCACAATGAGCAGGAGAGGTTAGGGGAGTATAGTCACGATGGTATTGTGTGAACTCAACGTGAACTGGCTGGTATGACGGTATTGTATAAAGTGGGTGGTATTGGTAGTGTATGAAGTGGGAGGTGGTGGTGGTCTATATGAAGTGGGTGGTGGTGTATGAAGTGGGTGGTGGTGGTGTATGAAGTGGGTGGTGGTGGTGTATGAAGTGGGTGGTGATGGTGTATGAAGTGGGTGGTGGTGGTAGGTGTATGAAGTGGGAGGTGGTGGTGTATAAGTGGGTGGTGGTGGTGGTGTATGAAGTGGGGTGGTGGTGGTGTTTAGTGGTGGGTGGTGGTGTATGAAGTGGGTGGTGGTGGTGTATGGAAGTGGGTGGTGGTGCTGTAGGTGGTGATGGTGTATGAAGTGGGTGGTGGTGCTGTATGGGGAGGTGGGTGGTGTATGAAGTGGGTGCTGGGGCTGTATGAGTGGGAGGTGAGTGGTGGGGAGGGTGGTGGTGTATGGAAGTGGGTGGTGGTGGTGTATGGAAGTGGGGAGATGGTGGTGATAAAGTGGGTGGTGGTGGTGTATGAAGGGTGGTGGTGGAAGTGGGTGGTGGTGCTGTATGAAGTGGGAGGTGGTGGTGTATGAAGTGGGTAGTGGTGGTGTAGAAGTGGCATTGTATGAAGTGGTGGTGGTGTATGAAGTGGGTGGTGGTGGTGGTATGAGTGAGTGGGTGGTGCTGTATGAAGTGTGGGTGGTGTGTGGTGGTGGTGAGGTGGTGGTATAGTGGGTGGTGGTGTGAAGTGGGTGGTGGTGGTGTATGAGTGGCACTGTGAAGTGAGTGGTGGTGCTGTATGGAGTGGGTGGTGGTGGTGTATGTGGGTGGTCTTGCTGTATGAATGTGGGTGGTGGTGGTGTATGAAGTGGGTGAATGCTTGCTGTATGAAGTGGGTGGTGGTGCTGTATGAAGTGGGTGGTGGTGTGTATGAAGTGGGTGGTGGTGGTGTATGAAGTGGATGGTGGTGGTATGAAGGAGGTGGTGGTGGTGTATGAAGTGGGTGGTCTTGCTGTATGAAGTGGGTGGTCTTGCTGTATGAAGTGGGTGGTGGTGCTGTATAAGTGGGTGGTGGTGCTGTATGAAGTGGGTGGTGGTGGTGTATGAGGTGGGTGGTGGTGGTGTATGAAGTGGGTGGTGGTGTATGAAGTGGGTGGTGGTGGTGTATGAAGTGGGTGGTCTTGCTGTATGAAGTGAGTGGTGAAAACTAAAATACTGCACTAGGAAATTTATAGTGTTAACTTTACACTTACACCCTCCATGAACACTAATAAATATAATTTTCTTTCTTCACACGATTAGTTCTTCTATTTTTACTCAGGCTCCTTATAATCGTAGTTTTCTTTGACTGGAGTTTGAAATTTTAGATGTTATTTAAAATATGTAAGATCTTTTCATGTACACACCCATCTTCCCACTCAAGTGGCATCATCAGACAGGTAAAATCTCTCATTTTATTCACAATCTCGTATTTTTTAAATAAAATTTTAATGCGTTACTTCGCCCAACAATGAAATTTAATGCAGGATTGTCAACATTATTATGGAGGAGGGCTCGTGGTTGAGGCCGAAGTAATTCTTAAACTTTCCCTGTTCCAGTGCCAAATCTTAGTGCATCCTTAGCGATTTTTAAAATTTATATCATCTTTAAAAATGGCTGATAAAAAAGATCAGTCTTCTAGTGATAGTATTAAAAAAACGAGGAGCAGAAAAGTCATTATACTACTCAAGACCTGAAAGGAAGTGATAAAACATAGTAATAGTGGATTGTCAAACTATGAAAGCAGACCATTGGACCTTGTTTATACAAATGTGCAACAATTCTTAAAGAAAAGAATCAGTCCCGATATTAAAAGTTCAATATCACTGCAAAAAAAAATTATAAGGCAAGGAGAAGAATGCATGGCCAAGATAAAGATTAGTCTTTTTTTAATTTAAGATCAAACTCACTATTCTCCTTTGAAGCTTTGCCACCATTCAAGCCTTTTTATCTTTTTTTAAGACAATTTAAGACCAGTATGGTGAGAGATCCATGGGCAAAAAATTGTTGCAAGTTGGGGCTGGTTTATGAGATTCAAGACCAGGTATCATTATGCTTTATATTTATTGGTAGTTAATTGAATATGCTACTGTATTATTTGTATTCATCTTCCAGGTATCCCCGTATTTACTAAGGGGTTAGGTTCCTGAAAAACCCATTGCAGTTTGAAATGTCGTAAATTGGGATCAATATAACATGGGGTTTAATGGGATAGCTACGCTCCCACATCTATCACCGAAAAAAAAAACCTACACTATTACTACACCTACAACATAATTAACACTCGCCACATCATTAAGAACAAGTCTGGTTGTCATTACTTGTCCCTTTCGAGACTACGGTAAGGGGATTCTTGAAGGTGGAGTGGACACGTCACTGACTCCCACACAGCCTCTGGGGAGTCTGGAGAAGGTTCACAATGTCAAGCTTCACCTCCAGACATGGTTTTCCCGAGTGCCTTGGCCTTTCCTGACATTTTCAAGGTTACACTGCTCACTTCAGTCACAAAAACAGAGCAAAAATCACTTGTCACTAAAACAGAGTACAATATGAACGTTAGTGATGTCCTCAGGGTATATACATATATGGGGGAGGGAGGGAGGGAGAGAGAGAGAGGGAGGGAGAGAGAGAGAGAAGAGAAGAAAAAAAAAAAACACCTAAGCAACAATATCGATACTGATCGGTAATTGTTGAGCTACATCACGGCCAAGTGCGATCACCATGGAAAAAAGCTTGGTACTGTTGTGCAATGGGTGGCAGAACTCGGGTAAACCGCAACTGACAAGTGAACCGAGAGATGCGTCTGTGTTGGCCAAACGATGAACATTGTTCATGCAGATTGTTTGCATTCTAAATACGGTGATGGTCTTAATACATCACCATCATTAAAGCGGAATATCATACTACATATATATTATCGTTGGCAAAACTGGTCTTGATTACAGCATCTTTTCTAAGACTGTAAACGGACAAGTTCAAGGACAGACTATTCCCCAATTCATAAATTTAGTACTTTTAAGATGACACTTACATGAGACTTTAAACCGCTGAAAATCCCTAGGGAGAAATAATTTTCTTTCAGAGCTGATAAGGAATGGAGAAGATAAATAATTATATAAAAGAGCTTAAACCTACATCACTGATGCAAGTTATGCCTATTGTGAAATAAAGTGCTCATGCAACATTGAAAGCTTGTATTTTTCAGTAATTATTTTGAAAGTAGTTGTGCTTATTATTTTTTATGATGTGAAAGTATGCCACTAATACCAGATTTGAAAACTGTTGGCATCACTTAAAATATTTTTCTGTAGAATTATCCTTTAATATTCAATACTGCATCACTTATAAGCTGTTGCTTTCTATTCTTATAGAATTAAACAAATCACATTAAACAGGTCAAACAATATCTTTATTTAGTTAAAATTAAAAACATACAATTCATTGACAATCTGTGAGGCAAAAAAAAATTATGATGTTTTAATGGCAGAAACAATTATCCATCTGTTTCCGAGACACCATGCCGTACAAATACAGACAGAGTTAATACTGATGAATAATGTATATTCATTTTAACAAAATATTCACGATCATGCTGCAACCTAAGAAGTTACTTACAGATAAAGGTATGTAAACTATATGAAGTTTCTTTCAAAACATATGATTATATATCAGGTACTGTACAGAAATTAATAAATAACATTTCAATACATGACACTGGTGAGACACACTACCTCTCCAGTAAAACAATGCTTGGGTAAAGTTAATGGCAAGATGTAGAAGCTATCATCAAGGTATCTCTTAATTCACTTCACAAAATACTTGTAAATAAATAATGTAGCTGCGTAAAAACAATTTCAATATTAAAGTGCTATCCAACTTCTTGCACTTGTTATTCTTGAACCTGTTATTTTGATAGATTTGGGAGGGGAAGAAATATGTATAATCTAACATGTGTACTTAGGGTGAACTTGATATACTATATAGTCGTAGTATTGTATTACAGTATATATTTTATCGAGCAACCACTAGCAAGCAAAAACACGAAAAGATCCATGAATTCACATGCTTTTCTGATTTATGTTCTCGGGAAATACAGTCGTTCAAAAAACAATCTTTACAAAATTGTGTTAGATAATATTACACAACAGACTTACGATTCTGACAACCCCACTGAGACAACAGGAGTCGTAGTGTTTATTCTGAAATTCATGGACCCCCCCCCCCATAATGATAGTTTTTTGAGCGACTGTAAATAGGAGTGCTTCCAGAGACAGTGAATAATCACAAAGAATGGTTGGATATTTTTGTGTCTTAATTTTCTAGTGGTTATCCTGCCTGCCTGTGTGCATGCATGTGTCTCTTGCCCAATCTGTGGATTTTCAATTCATGACTTGCTTATCTATGAACTGTGGTACAAAATATACATAACCTGCTCAAATCTGCATCTTTAATGGTAAGATACACTAGGAAATACCTAACAATACTCAGTATAATATTCTTAAAAAGAAATTATAACCTTAGTGGGTAGAGGTATTCAAGCGTCAAGTACACTGTATATTGTATACAGTGGTCCCTCGATTAACGAACACAATTGGTTCCATAGAGTCGTTTGTTAACCGAAAATTTCGTTAGCTGAATCTATTATTTCAATGGGATATTGGGTAACTGGTTCCAACTCACAGAAAAAGTATACAAAGTAAAACCAAAAAATGCATAAAGTCAGATACACTCCTAAAAATCCCCTAAATCGCCCTTAAAACACTATGCAGTATATATACGTACATTTACACTAGAACTCTTAAACCACTACTGCAATGTGATACAGGTGATTAATTTTTATCTCTTATGCAAAATATATGACGTTTATATTCAGATTATTCGCCGTCTTGCAAGGATTCCAGCAATGCAAATTATATTCTGCTAACTTTAGTCTGTGATATTACATAAAATAAAAACTTTAAGCCTAAAATCCTGGCTGGGCAGATGGGGGAGAGGGAGGGAGGGAGGGGAGGTGACAGTGACATGTTTGACAGTTGGCACAGAAGGTCTAGTGAAGTATTTCTTTCTCTATTTATGTCCTTTAGATTGAGTTTTTGTTTTTTGCTTATAAAATGTCACAGAAGTGACCGGGGAGAATATAATTTACATTGCTGGAATTCTTATAAGATAGTGAATAATTTGAATATAAACATGCTGTAGTTTGCACTAGCAAAAATTCTTAGTAATCATTTAGTACATTATTTTGAGTACATGTACAGTACAGCTTTGCCCTTATGACAGTGTTTGCATGTAAATGAGTGAAAATAGATGAATAAGGTTACATATATTGAGCCAAAAATATTAGTTGAAAAACTTTATGAAGACAGCTTGGATGGCTAAATTTTAGAATGACCAATAATTTTAATATAAAAAATGCAAAAATATTCACGAACACTACTTTCTTGATACAGTATTTACTCAACTGGAAACATAGAACCGATCAGCTGATGTGCACAACAAAGCAAGTTTCTCCTAAGGCTTTCGTTAATCAAAGTTTTGTTCGTTAATGGGAGCTAATTCGTTAACCGAAATTTCGTTAATTGAACAGTCCGTTAACCGCGGGACACTGTATTGCATAAAACCTACTTCATAATGTTGTTAAAAATGAACAAACGGTGAAAGTTCAGTTGTGCTGGCATTGTTTACAGAGCCGATAGTAAACTCCTGACCCCTTACATACTGATAAAATTCAATACATTTTTCTAATGAAGTAGTGTGGGCATTATTGGTAGTCTTAGTGCAGAGAACCAATAATATCAACAAAATTAAAAAAGCAACAGCACTTAAAATAACATTAGGAACTAACACTCATGAACACTGTACCATTTCATAGTATTGATCTTACTTCACCATTTATTCTTAAAGATATCAATAGGTTTCTTGTAGCTTTTCAAGTTACAGTAAAGTATCTATTGAAAAAAAATATATAAAGTGAATCATCAAGGAAGGTTATCTCAAACTATTCATTATCCATCAAAAGACCCAATACAGTACAGGAAAACCACATCCTTCAATTACACAGGACTACAAATGAGTTACTGTATAGCTACTAAATGGAAAGTTACAGCATCTTCAGTCAAATTACTATTAACAAACTTTTTCACTGGTACCAGAATCACTCTTCTCTTCAACATTATTCAATCCACCAACATCACCAGTTATCACATCCTTTTTGTTGACTTCTGTATCTTCTTTCTAAAAAGAAAAAGTAGAAAAAATTATACCTTCATATGAAAAACTTATTCTTAATTATAATATTGTAATAATATTATTATTATTATTTTTAATAATAATAATAATACTCTACAATTCTCATCTCCCTACATTTTTTTTTAAAAGAATGGTCAAAATTTATATAAAAAACTCAGATGTAATACAGTACAGTATGTCCCTCTATTACAGTACTGTAGCTACTGTACAGGGTAGGCAGCAAGCATGAGCAATCCATTAAATAAAGTGTGTATACATGAAAATATTTTATGAAATATTTTATTTGATATTGGGATTCTCTAAAATCCTCTAATTAGACAACTTCAGGTTTATACCCCCGTAGAATTACCCAAAGGGTCTGAAATAGGTCAGCATATTTGGACATACCTGTATTGTTAAAAATAGTGGGGTGTACTTACGAACGTATATATTAACCACCCTAATGCTAACCTAATCCCCCTAGGTACTATTAGGGTGGTTAATCTTTGGAGTCAACGTTTATAAAACACTTTTTTTTTTACATTACAGTAAAACCTCGATTAACCGACCATATGTGGGGGGAAGGGGCCGACGGATAATTGAAAAGGTCGGTTAATAGTATATAAAGTCTACGGAAATAAAACACACTTTCAAAATACCTTTCCCTAACCTACCTCAATTAAGTCCTGTAGTGGATCTCTCCTCTACAACAGCGTAGCCGTATCCCATAGCAACGGAATTCAACCACCGGTTCTCACGGGGGGTGTCGCCACCTGCGATACTCTTCCTTACACCTGACAAGCCTAGCAGCATTCCAATGCGACAGTATCCAAGCAACCGGCGAGTTTCTCACGGGGGTCGCCACCTGCGATGCTTGCATCCGGGTATACTTCCGGCAGCCGTGTATATAAGCTCTGTCTCGTCATTGAGATTCATTCTACCCTACGTTCCTGAACACGCAACACCTTCTTCGAGCAAGCTCCTCGCTGTCCAGCTCTCATTCAACCTGGAGGCCAGCAACACGCAACATCTCCTCTCAACGAAGCTCCAGCACGCTACTCACCCAACGTGTCCTCTGTGCAAGCTCCTCACCACACGGCATCTCCAGCACCAGACTGTTTTGTATATAATATATATTATATAAGAAAACAACCATCTAGAGTTTCCATCCATCCCATCCCGAGTGTGAGACAACATAACTTATCGTAACCCTACAAACTCTCTAATCATTTTTGTTCATTTGCCATTCATATTTCAATAGAATTTGCTTTAAAACATTAACCACTTTAGTAAATAAATATGAACCAGCACAGAAACCGTGAATAAAAAATGGAGAAGTCAAAGAACATATGTCATCACAAAAATTGTGACCAAGTTCCAGGTTGCTGATCTGACTTTCTGCCTCATTTACACACAATTGCAGGGTCTCAATTGTTTCTCTTACTATTGACAACACAACATACATACAGGTACATTGTTTCTCACTCTTGATTTTTTTTTTTCATTTTTGCATTTCTTTATGGTTCTTTATTACTATTATTATATTATTAGCATTATCATTATTAACATTATAATTATTAATATTATTACATTATTGCCCCCCAGGCCCTGATGTGGGTCAGTGACCTGTGACCGGGTGGGCTAATCCCCGTACAAAAAAAAAAAAAAAAAAAATAGGGGTTCGGGATTGACGATTAATCCGAAAGTCGGTTAATCGAGGTTTTACTGTATTTACATGAATTAAAAAAAAAATTGTTTGTCATTCATGGGATATACTGCAATTGTTAAAATTTTACTGGTTGGGAAGGATTTTATTAATATTTTATTGCAAAATTAACATGGTTTGGAGTTCGAAAAATCAACTTACAAACAGGGTCCAACAACGTTTTACCTGTACTATACCTGTTCATTATTTTTGTTTGTCAACTTACTTGGAAGATTGGTGTACATTTCAAACAAAACCATGAGGGAAAAAAAAGTTAATTTTTGAATTGGACACACTTGAGTATGCATCACCCATTTGCTTGAAGTATTTTGGACGATGCAATATGCATCAATTGTGCTAAGGAGTGTTAAAAGAGGTTAGGAAAGGAAGAAGACTTGGGCATGGTAGACAATAACAGTCAAATGAAAATTATATGCAGAATGAAGCAACAACTAGAACCACTTGACAAGCCGTGGTTGGAAAAATGGTATACAAAATATAAAATGTGGATACTCAAAGCCTGTGGTTGGAAAGGGATTTATATACTGTGAAACATACTAATTAACTGAATGCGAGTCATGCTGAGGCAACAGAAAAAAAAAAGTACTGTACAGTATAGTCTGGATTTACGCGGTGCCTTGCCAGAATGAAAATGATTTAATTACGCGGTAAATTTGGTCATTTACGCGGCGAGCGGCTGGAGAGGTCCAGACCGCCGCACCATTTTTTACCCACGCGGTTCATTCTTGACCATACGCGGGAAGCGGCGCGGTGAGTGGTGCGCATTAGGCCACTCTTAAGTTATCGCTGACGTCATATGACGTATCGGACTGTGATTGGGCCACGCATCCTTACCACCCACGCATTCCCTCCGCCGCTAGCTGTGATTGGTCTAATGTAACATGACGTGCCCTGCCACCAGAGGGTAGAAGTCGCTGACCTAGCCGGGCCAGTCTCATTGTTCTCAGTCCGCATATAGTTCTCTCTTGTGCCCGCTATTCCTTTCACAATGGCCTCCGCGGGACCCCCACCACCCGAGAAAAACCTTGAATTACCTGGACCAAGCCATGATAATGTGAAGGAAATCATCGAGTTGGGGGAGAAAATTAAGCTCATCCTTGACAACGACCCAGACAAGCATCGGTATGAAGTGTCTAATAACCATCTGACGAAAGTTATGGAGCCGTATATCCAGATCTATCTCGACATCAATGCTAGTCGTCAACGTAATGTTGAGGACTTCCTCGCCCACAACCCACCACAACCACAGCCAGCCCAAGTCAGTGATAGTGACAGTGAGGATATGGACTTTGAGGGGTTTGTCTGGGAGGCCCTGCAAACCTCTGAGTAGTGAAAGTGATTCACCGGAGGGCAACTAATCTGCCCTCTGCCTCGGAACCAGCCGCCATCCACGTGTGCCGACCCAGCTTTTCTACTAACGTAAGTGTTAAAAACCTAATATTATTGATATTTCTCTTAATTATTAATTGTGTGTGCATACCATCATAAAATTAAGATGTTATTTTGACTACAACGTAGGTATTGTGTCGAAAAAAGTGGAGTTTGGGGGTAGGCCCAGTCTCTATTTCAATTAATCCTACATGTTCTGTTATTTCATTTACGCATTTCTCGTTTTACGCGGGCCTCCACGGGTTCAATTGACCGCTTAAATGCAGACTATACTGTACTTTATTTATATATATTTTTTTTTTTGCAATACATGTGTATACAAATATTTACACACATAGAAAGTCTGGGGTTCCTGTAATATATGTAACTACAGTAATAAAGACTAAAAATTATGATATATCAGAAATAAAAGTTTGGTAATTTTCTTAATAATAAGCCTTTCTTAGCATAATTCCTATTCTCAAGACCTGGATATTTAAGAAAGTTTAAGGAGTAACAAGTTTATGTCTTTTAGTGAAGTAAGCTAAATGCTCCACTTAATTAAAAAATGAGTACAGTATTATGATGTACTGTACTGTAAAATCTTACCTTTTTATCCTGTTTGGCAAACTTCTCAAACATTCCACCATAAATCTTTTTTTCTTTCAACTTCTCTGCTTTGATCTTGGCAATACAGCACTGCAACTGTTGCTTTGCTGCTTTATTTGTTTGTTCTATGTTGAGGCAAGCTTCAAAATCACTCTTTGCTTGTTCAGCATCACCCATGTTTAAATTGGCCTACAAATAAATAATTCATCCTTCAGATAGAACCTAATTTTTAAAGCTGAATTTCACAAATGACCAAATCCCCATTGCATGCAACCACGTATATGACATATATTCATGGCTTAACCTAGCAATTAAAAATCATATTGGTCACAATAGAAACTAAAAGATTCTTTTATCTGTACCGTTTTAATGCATGAACAAAGTAATAAGAATGTTAAAAGGTGGAATATATTTAAAAACAGCTGTAGAAAATACCCTACCCACTATCATTACTATAGTATTTCTACCTGGCCCGTAAGCCACGCCCCTATTCTATACTAATTGCCGATTGGTTCATACAAAATTCAAACTAAAAGTGTACACAATTGGTAAGCAGACCTGTTATTATCTCAAATAATGTTAAATATCTGAACTATCAAAATGCAAATAATTTCAAGACATTAGCACTTCAGAAAGGATGTTAGAAATTTTTGAATATTTATCATAAAAAGTCGATATAAATACGAGCTTATAAACATGCAGTCCGGGGGGAGGTAAAACGCTCGGGGGAACAAATCGGCTATTTGTAGCTATAGACGAGGGGCGTGGCTTACGGGCCAGGTTAGCGTGGAAAGGGTATAAGTAACCTGAATTTGAATTTGCCCCATGAGGGGGCTAGTTTATTGGACACCCCCCCCCCCCTTGCTTACTTGTAGTACACTGAACCATCATTAATTCAGAATTTGTTCTAATTCAACACATCATAGTGCTGCTGATCCAAAGATAAAATTTTGCTGTATGGCCAATGTTGCTTATGTGTAGAACAGGTTTGCATCTGAATGTTTTCCTATAAGTATGAGAAGTATTCTTTGAATATGCCTTTCATGTATATACTAAAGCCATGGAGACCTCATTAATTTTAATATCTAATTTATGAGATTTTTTAAATGTAAAGACAAGCACTTACCTGGCCTCTTCTAAAATAAGCCTTAACATTATTCTTATCCAATTCAAGGGCCTTTGTACAATGTTCTTTCACAGCGGAGTTCTGCTTTAGTTTAAGGCAAGTAATTGCAAGATTCAAATATCCTGCCAATAATACTGCACGGCTTTCAGCCTTTTTTTCATCATCCAGACCTGAAACATAGACAAGGAAAATAATACAACAAATGTCATACATGACAATACTAAATATGCACACTGTAGAAATTATATTTCCCTTGGTTACACATACCCAAAAACTCCTTGACCACCATGGGATGAGAATGTGTTTTTTGGCACACACAGAAGCTGCCTAGGTCAGGCTGTTAATCTTTTATCATCTCCCTTCCCTCAACTATTCCTCTCTACTGGGATATACCAACAATCTCTTAACAAGAAAACAATACAAAGATTATGACCAATCTGAAACTCACAGAAAAGTAATAATTTCCATTAAAATATTGTGGAAACTGTTGAAAAGTCCATAATATCTAGCAATTTACTGAAAACTGCTTAGGGTTATGGCATATAATCAAGGTAAAAATATATTTGAAAAATAATAAAACAATAATTAAGTTAAAAGAAAATTATCAGTTTGTATTAAAAAAACTAATTCATGAAATGTATTAACATTTCTTCAATCAAATTTACAAGAGGGAAAAATACGAGTGAGTGTACTTTACATAATCACAGGTGTGGCTGCACAAATCACACCTGCATGGTATTTTATAAACATGAAAATCGATTGTTTCTAGAAAAATGGTATGTGATTTGTCCATTTTGTTAAGAGGAAATTTCAGATGACAGATGCCTTCCACTCACTATTACTCTCACTTTTACCAAACAGTAAGATATTCCATGTACAGCATATACTTCTATATAAGTACATCCACATAGTTTAACTTACCAGTATATTTCAATCTTCTGTTCACACATATAGCAACTGTTCTCTATGTCACTGCTCCATTGATAGTTATGAATTTTTTTTTTAAACCAAACAAGTCCCCATTTTTATTTTCTCTCAGCATTTTAATGTCTGTACAGTATTTCCATTCATTCATAATACAGTACAGTACTCCATATTTCCCAACAGTCCCCCTGCGAATATCGAAGAGGTGTTAAAATATTAATCGTGAATCGAACAGTAGTGAAAAGCAAGGTATTCCTGTATATTCCATTGCCTACCTCCACCTCCTCAATTATCCACACTTAATCTCTCCTCTGCTCTTGAACTTGATTTTACACATAACCACTTGTTCTTATTTACCTGACGACATCTGTACACAATCTATCATCTATGTCTTGTTTTTGTTTGGTGAAGACAAGGTGGAGTTACCAAGCATTATGCTCTACAGTACTGTACATATACTTTCCTACAATCTATTGTATAATTCTCCCGGACTTTATCATCTCAAATACAGATTCTCTAAGTACCTGTCCTGAAGAATTATCTTTTAAAAGTTTTCTAAAATGTATATAGGCCGCACATCTACAAAATTTGTTAGGTGTTCTTGGGGATCTAATTCACTGATAAGCTTTTTACAGCACATTTAGCAAAAGATCTAACATAATTTATGCCAAAATTTCACTTCATTATACTGTAATACAATTAATATTTATTGCAAAATAATTTTTAAAATATCTGAACATGGAGCACACACTAGCAGACTGATAAAATAAATCTCTACCATATTCTTTCTCATTTCAACCACTACGAAAGACAAACTTTAAATCTAAATACACTCTCCTGCCCTTAATGCACTCTTCCATGCTCAATGCACTCAAGTTACTCACCAGAATCATGCTCCAAAAGATCAATTATCTTCTTGTATTGCTTTGCTGCCAGTTGATAGTTCTCTTGCTTTAAGTAATTTGTCCCACGATCTTTGTATACTTTAGCCTGTTCAATTTTTTCTTCTTGATCCATTTCCCAAGGTTCCTTTGCCTTCTCAAAACTCCTCATTTCCACCTCATATTCTAGAGCAGCACCAGGTGGGACACCAATGGCTACATTCCCTGCAGATCCAAATGCATACTGTGTGGAAGAAATGCCAAATAGTAATCATCATAGCAGGTTCCAGAATCCATAATTCTAAGATTGTGTGTAGACATGAACCTTCAACTATAGCATCTTATCACATGTTTTCAATAATAAATGCAATCTTTCTTTCTTTACAATTTATATAACTCCTTCAAAAATCCACAGTAGTGATTCAAAAACATCCCTTCCTCCACTAATACAGACATCAAAGTCATTCATTAACCTAATTTATATATTTTTTTTTTATATGTTCTCACACTCAACATTCAAATACGCACTGTTTAATGATTTGGGTTTTCCTTTCTTTACTTTATCAATGCCTCCTTCATAATCCAATATCTACCTCCAAGCTTTTTCAATTTCCAATCTATTAAATTTACTGAAGCCACAAACTCCTACAGAAGCAAGTGTTTTGTTCCATGAAATTAAAATAAAATTATGAGGTTATAATGTAAGCAAAAGGGGAAATGAAGAAACAAAAATAAAGTTTACTCACCTTCATGTACTCTTTTAATCCTTCAACTAATGCTTTGCACACTTCTGGAATCATGAGAGCAATACTAGTTTGATACTCTAAACAGGTACAGTACATCAAGCTTTTATAAGAATCTCCAGTGACAAGAAATCTTAATGTGATGGCGAGTTTAGTTTTCAAAGGAATTGCTGCCCTCATATTTGTATCCATTTTCTGTATTTTTGGACAAATACTAATGCAAAGCACCTCAAAATCACCCTTAGACATTCTTGTAATATTTTGAAATAAATACTTGTCTAATTGAAATTCTTCACATTAGAAGAGCGCTTTTCCATATATGGTCTAACCCACATTCGCCTCTTCTTCTTGCGTTGTTTATTTATTATAATAAAAGCGGCAGCTGCAATTCCAAGATCCACTTTCAAGACCACAGCCTTCACAAGGTTCCCCTAATGACAATATACTGTTTAGTGACTCACTGGTTCATGTAAACAGTGGTCATGTTCCTTCTAATTGCTCCACATTGACGACAGGATTGCAGCAATCATTGTCATGGCAATATTTTCTTATTCAATATTTCCAACTGTATTGTTGCCTAATGTTGTTAAATTTTTAATGCTCGTGTAACCGCACCTTAAGGCAAGTACTGAGGCCACGTGGTCAGCATCAATAAGACAACGCATTTTGTGCACTAAATTGTATCATTTATGCTTTTATTATTACTATTTATAAGCTTCCATTATTTCTGTCTATATGCCTACAATCTAAGTTTTAAATTTACAGTGTACAGTTAAAACTATTGTTAAGGGTGAATCTAGCAAAATTTAAAAATAGGGGTTGGTAACTGGTGAGAATTCAGTCTCAGAATTGGTAACACTAACTGTGCACAGCATCAGCTGCTGTGGTGGTAACCAAGGTTAAGATGCATTGGTGAGAATCTGGTATCTTGCTATAAATGTCTAATGTTATAACTAGTATTTCTCAAAAGCTAGGGTTGGATTATACACGGCGTACTGAATATGAAGAAAAAAAAATAGATTTTATACCAAAAATCTGGGGTCGGATTATACACAAGTATAAACGGCATGTTTACAACATCTACAATCTACACCTTTATAGACCAGTGCAGATGGAACGGCCTGCAAACACCCAGACAACACCAGATGCATTTGCATCAAAGTTTTATCATTTCAGGCATATACAAAAATTCAATGTTTTTATTTTTTGGTGAGGTTTCAACCCATAGCAGATGTTATAAGGATCCCACAGCACTACAGCTACTATCCACCACTATTTTCTGACAGGAAAGAATCCTGTTGTAACATTCTAAATACAGAGAGGGTATTCTTAATACTTTAAGAAAGATTGTAGGGTTCCCACTCCAATGACTGCAGTCCTCTCATGTACTGTTGCTACTGTATTTTGTGGAGAGTTAGTACAGTATACAGAATGTGAATTAAAAACAAAAACTATACCAACCTCTGGTGAAAGTTTGATAGTTGATTTCTCTTTTTTCTTGAAATTTTCAAGAGCACATTCTAGGCCCTCAGGAATATTGTGTTCTGATCCTCCACCAAGGGAGAATTTCAATTCTCGGTCGTCAAAAATCGTGCCGTTGACTCGACCAACAATATGCACTGTAAACAAACAAAATAATATACACTCCATACCTACAGAAAATACTACAGAACAGTATTTATTTAGATTTACATCAATAGTAAGTAATGATACAAAGTCTTTCTCAACTTGATAATAAAATTCACTACGTATAGTTTTAACCCATATTCCCCATAATAATAATAATACATATACAGTATAATATATACTGTAATATATATACAAATTGATGTAATTAATATTTAGACTGGGTGTAGTAATCAGTACAATTCACTATACGGGTAGTTTTAACCCATATTCTCTATATATATATATATATATATATATATATATATATATATATATATATATATATATATATATATATATATATATATATATATATATATAATATATATATATATATATATATATATATATATATATATATATATTTTAATATAGGGAATATGGGTTAAAACTATAATGAATTTACACCCAGTCTAAATATTAATTACATCAATTTGTATTACATTACAATTCAATCCAGTCTTCCTCAATTTACTGAATGAAAACTACACTTTATCACACCAATGGAAATGGTGAACGCATAAAAATTTATACTTACCATCCACAACTGAACCTTCATTGGGGGATTGGTAGCCTTCTCCTGGTTTAATATTTCTTCTAATTATACCACCATCTTTATTTTTACTGATATCTTCACCATGCCACTCAAACAATTCAACCTGTCGGTCATAAGAAAATCTTAATAAATAAAAAATAACAATTAAATGTGACAATAATTTATCACATTAGGCATAAAAAAAATAAATGAGTTATTAAATATCAATGGAAAATAGTTCTGAAAATATATTTACAAAGTCAGATGACATTTTTTACATATAACTGCCCAAGTTATAAAATACTGTACATCTAAGAAAGTTTTATACACACTAACCTCAAACACCAGAGTTGCATTGGGTGGAATCTTTGGTGGACTACCTTGTTCCCCATAGGCATAATTACTTTTACATGTCAATCTGGCTAGCTCCCCTTTCTTCATGGTAGCCACACCCAAATCCCAAGCTTTAATAACTTCACCTGTGGTGAAAGAATATAGTTCATTAACAAATTATTTAAAAAATACACTTATTAAACCAAAAAAAATGTACTACTGTTAATAATTGCCTTCCTCTCTCATTTATATAGAACATACTGGTATCACACCCAGAGTACAGTACTCATTAGTTTAAAGTGATTTGTATTGGTTTATAATTCTAGGGATGTGAAAACATACAAAAACTTGTTCTTGGATAGCTAAAAATCACTCACTTTAATCTTAGACTGGATAACTCTTTGAGCTGTGAGCGTGAATAATGGACAAAGCATATGTGTAATTAGCCTAGTAGGTACACGTCTTGTGGGCGTGAGAAACAGGAACAGACTGGCCGAGGGCCAGCTACTTCATTCATAACTGCAGTTAAGAGACGAGAGGTCAGTGGAAATATACTGTCACGTGTCCAATGGATGACTACTCACAGCTCATAGGAAAGTTAATTACAGTGATATCCTGCAATACTGTAGTTTATTTTCTTTATAAATGGAGAAAAGACCATTTGGGTTTGAAAACTTAACCCATAAACATTTATGAATGTTGCTTCCAGTTCACCTCTAATTAGTGCTTCCACAGGTAACCGGTGAATGTACTAAATGTATAAAAACAATAAATAATATAAAAAACACCAAAAATACATGACTTTATTTTAGCAGGGACTATTTAGGAAAAAACTTGTGTATTTTCGTCTTGTAGCCCATAGTTTTCTTAAAATAATATATAAAGTACCAGGAAATGTGAGGAACAAATAAAAATAATACCAATAAATAAGTTACGTACAACCAAAAATACTGGACTGTATTGCCAAATCGGTTAATAGAAGCCAAATGAAAGTTTAACAGTCACCATTTCCATACACTCCCTCCATCATAGCAATGGAGACCAGCTGGGACGCCGGTTCCCTGGCAACGCTCCCCACCCCCTACACACTGCACTCTCCTTCCGCTCCTTCACTGAGCCAGCTAACTCATGTGCCAAAAAATGTATACTGTATTCCCCTTACATTTTTGTTACCAAGGACAATTATTTCCTTTACCTTTTTCACAATATGTAAGTATGTAGGATGGTGTGTGTGCATGTAACCAAGAATAAATTAAGAAACTAAGTGTATCTACCCAAAAATCACTGGTGGTTACAGTGATGAGTCTAACCTGGCTACAGTACCATGATTAATCACTATTATATCAGTAAACACTTATAATAAGAGTAAGTCCAGTGAAACATGGTACTGTAGGGAGCGAGGAGGGTTATAACTGCAGAAGATGCTCTTACTAGCGGTCACTCACTTGCTCCTGTTGCCAGGCATACGATGGAAATACGTACGGGAGAAATACATATCTTGTAATCTAATTTGAAAACAGGGACGGGCAGTGATAAGCAAATTATATAAACTATGCATTTACTTATGATAACATAGTAAAAAACATTTTATCATTACTAGAGTGAATGACAACTCTGTTTATTTTTCCCACCTCAGGCACCGGCGTCCTGCGCGTTGACAAGTCACACAGGACTTAGATGATCTTTGCTCTGTTTTGGGAATGCTTCTTAGGGAGGCTTCTTAGTCTCCGGGACCCAAAAATTTTGTCCGAATCTTCTGAAATCCGGATTTACCAGGTCCAAATCTTTGAGGATTCACTGTACTGTCCTCATATTTGACGGTTGGTGACCCTACACTCTAACTTTTGGGGCTTATTTTTTAACAATCCTCCAAGATTCTGCATCTCCCTGGGGACCCATTTTCAAATTCATTCATATGGCAGACAGTAAAAAAATCTATAGCAAGTGAGGATAATAGCAACACCTCGTTTTGCCCATGTCCCTCACAATTGGGACAAGGAAAGACAATGTTACTACAGTATTGTAATGCAGGCAAAGCATTCACGCTATCTCCATGAAAATCTGTAAGGCAGTGTGTATAATTTTTTTTACATACCCTGTATACAAGGTGAATCTTTAATCATATTTTTCAATTTACAAGGTACAGTATTCACATCAAATCACCGTGAAAATTTAGGTGGAATGTCCATTAAATTTATAATCATCATCTTACCTTTGCCAAGGGTGAAGGCAAAGCGCTCCCCTCTGTCACGACTAGAATCAAACTTTGATCCATCGTCAGCAAGTGTCCCTACATAGTGTACATATACACGGTCACCTCCTAGCGGCCCCTCTTCACCCTCTCCTGGTTTCAAAATCTGTGGGTATCAATGTAGGAATTAACTTCACAATTTGAGTCTCCACATACTGTAAATTCATAAAGTTGGTAAAATTTTCCATTTCATTTAGTTAATAAAAATTTTCTTACCAAAAGTACCTATGGTGTTTGTATAAGCCATCAATACCATTCAAATTCACAATAATTATCAATGATTTGATCTTATTGGGACAAAAATAAATTACCATATACCTTAACACAAAATAATGTACAGATATTTCATAAAATCTCATCGCTCAATATCACACTATACAAATGTATCATTACATGTACAGTACACACAGCATGGAAAGTATCTTTACAGATGGGCCCAATGGGTTTGAAAATGAGCAGTACAGTACAGTATAGCTCCTGTGGTATCAGAAGGGTTGGTATGTCTGATTGTGAAGTACATCTCTTAATACAGTATACTGTAATATCTCATAATATTTGTCACTCCTTAGGGCAAACACAAAGGGAATATACATTTCTTTGTACACAAAGACTTTTGTTTAGAATATTTTGTCCATTGTGTCATTGTATGAAACTGTAACTGTGAAGATACTTTGTGCTGTATTTCTTAGCAATACATACAATGAAAAATGAAAGACTGATCCTCAAATCTCATTTCATAACTGAGCTAAGATTTGGCAAATCACATACTGTACTATGGTACCTAACTGAATCAATAGGATTAATACCCAGGTTACCCTCAATTTCATTGGTTGGTACTACAGGTAGGGTATACTGTACTGAAATTCATAAATTAGTTTATACCTTCCTGTCGTATCTAAGTACTACAGCTATATCCAAAAGGATACCCTTTTTAAACTGAGTTACCAAAATGGTTACCAATAAAAACAGCCCATCCAACATTAGTTTTAGCCAGCCACTTCATTTGATCTTAACCCTGTGGATATGAGAGTCTCTCTGTGCTGAATAAAATTATCTGACAAGTCAAATGAAATATTACAAGTGGAGTCCAAACATGAATGGGATAATAAACTTAACAGTGAACGGGTTCATAAACTTAATAATAACCCTATCTTCCACAGTATTCTAAACTGACACTGTACTTCATCTGGTGCTTCAGACTTATCTCAAAAGATTTTTTTAAATACCGTACAGTACACTCTTAATACTACCTTCAAAACATCTTGCAATATACACTTACTCTTTTCCAAAAACACACACTTATCCTATACAATTTATTTTCTTTAATAGTTTTGTCCTTTACAGTCTATACCCATCAAGTCACTTTAGTTTCATCCTTTACAGGAACAATACTGTACAGCTTATCACTTACTCTCACCCCCATGACCCTCAACATCATACTTTTTACCTTCATCTAGAAACTTAAGACATTCATCCTTTACAACACATTCCCACTAAATGATAATGATCTTCATGACTTCTTACCTCCTTCAAGATACCTCCATCTTTGTTGGGAGTGACATCCATGATATCAGCCTTAGGTTCTCCAGCACTCATTTTTGAAGATGGATGCCCCCTAAAAAAAATAATAATAATAATAATTAACAAAATAAGTTTTAGGTAAAACAGCAGTAGAGTACTAGGACCACTGGTTATTTGAAGACTATTACTATACACTGTACAGTATAAGAATTAATGGCAAATGAAGCAATGGCACCATAATTATATACCATATACAGGTATACCCAGAAAACCGGTTTCCCAATAATAGCCGATTCGCACAACCAACAATTATATATCGGCAGAAATATTCTCCAAGTTTTGTTGATACCCCGCTGATCCAACAATTGGGGGAGGAGCGGCAGGGCTGTTTTGAATTTGGCTGGCGGAAGCAAGGTGGAAATTCTTGCCACAATAGGTCTCTGCATGCTGCCTTCGACTCATTCCCACCTCTCTGCACTTGTTTACACTTAGACTTCGTGTTTTTCGTTATTTCCAACTTCGTGCATTATGAAATCATGCCTAAATGTGCTGCCATAAGAGAGGCAGCTTGATGTGATGTGATAAGGCATAATAAGGTGTAATAAGAGTGATGATGGACCCTAGACCATCTCTACCATCCTCAACACAGGTAAATAAGTCTCAATTTTTACTTTACATTCCTTATTTAAAGTATAATTTGCTTGCTTCTTTTTTTTTTTTTTTTTTTACTGTGCACGACAGATATATCAAAGGTAGATAGGAGATTTTGGGGGGTGGCTGGTCCCTGATGTCGCAAATTTGTATTCTTATGGGATTAATCGCTTTGATAACCGTCGATTCACTAACCAACGACTTTTCACAGTCCTATGTGTCAGTTATCGGGGTATATCTGCACCTGTACAGTACAGTATATATACAGTACAGCACTATTTTTTTAAACTGCATTATAAATTATCCTAAAATTCATAATACAGTCTTGAAATAAACAACTGGCACTGTGTGTAAAATTTCTCTCATGAAACCTGAAAGAGTTCATACCTGTATTACTTATGATTTCAGACCCTCCATTTGGTAACTTAAACAATGCACCAATCACAAGCAGCTATGGGGTTTAGGACCTTGGAACTCCTATATCAGTGTGACTGGGGCTGATCTTACAATCCACCTCCCCACTACAAACAAGACCTTAGATGAACCACATACAGTACAAAATTAAGAAGGGATTGCCTTCATAAACATGAAGCTCAACAAATCATGAGATTATACAGATATTATAATCTGGCTCACCAAGCCAAATGGGTAAGCCATCTTGGATGGATTCCAGAATCATCCATTTAATTCCAGCCACACACCATGGCGAGTGGCCATTTTGGCACTATTCAATTACTCAGTGGTAATTTTGTCAGCAATAGTGTAACCTGTCATTTCAATGATTTCATCACCAATTTATAGATGATAACTATTATTTTAGGTTATGTTAGGTAAGTTAGGGGTGTCAATATTTTCTTTTCTTACATTATTGGGGTGGTGGGTGTAGACCATCAGTTGCCAGGAGTAACTGATGGAATCAGTTATCAAGATCAGGAATAAAAAAAGAACAAGCAATAGCATTTTTTTTAGATCTCATGGTGTTCTACCGACCTTGGTAAAGATTCTAATTCGGAATAAGGTAAGAAATAACCGATTCCCTCATATGGTAAGAGTCTGGTTATGTAAAAACACCGAGTTAGGTTAGGTTAGGTCAGGTAAGGTCAGGTCAGGTGGTAATGATGCAGTTTACAGTAACCACAGCATTCCAGAATTCACTACACTCAATCGATAGAACTATTTTTTCTATGATAATTTTCCTATACTGTATTACACTTCTGTCACAAAGTGATAATAAGGAAGTTGTTGAACTTTAAAAAGAATAAAATCAGAGCACCTGTTGCCCCTACGCTGTTGCTCAAATTGTGTGTGTTCATACATTCACTTACCTCCCGAGCATGTGCTGGGGGGCAGCCACCAATCAAATCGGGTGGCCGCAGCAAATCAAATCTAGGGCGGGGGCGGCAGCCAATCAAATCCAATAAAAAATCTCAACTTTTGATTCAACCAATTAGCATTCAATATTTGCCATGGGTGCTAAGATTCGGGACATTTTTAATCAGTTGCAACATGGAGCCATAATGTGCTGGGTGCGATTTTGATTATTGTAAGTTTATCGTATTATTTAATTCTAAAAATAAGGAAACTTTAGAGAACAGAGGAACCCATGACGTATTCCGGTCCCTGACTCAAGACTCTGACCCAGACTTGGAGAAGGTAAGAAATACTCTAACAGCTATTTATATTCTCGTGGAGGCTGACCATGTGACGAGGATTTTATAGCGTTTGGGGTCCAGGGGCGGAGCCCCCTGCTAGGTTGTTAGGTAAGGTTTAGTTTGGTTATATGGTATAAGTTAGCAAGCACAGAGTACCGGGAATTCAGAACACGCAATCAATAGAACTATTATGGGGAGGGGGGCTAAATCACAACGAATGATTTCCGACAAAACGAAGATCAGATTTAAACTAATCGCATCAAAACTCATTAGAAAACCACGTTTTTTCTTCAAATACCATGGTTGCTGTAATATGCACATTTACCGGTGAGGTTAGGACAGGTTAGGATAGGTTAGGTTAGGCCATCCCCAAAAAAGGTTAGGTTTATATGTTTTTCTAGTGTTATTTTTTTTTTTGTGTATTTTGTATTCACTTGGCCATGATTTTTGTCGGAAAACGCCCCACCTAAAACCCCGGTTCCCAACAGGATCCCCTATCATGTTGGGGGTAGAAGGGGACGATAACTAAAACCAGACAATTTCCGATGAAAATCAAGGTCAGAATCATATGGTCAGAATCAATCAAAACACACAAAAATACACTAGGAAAACATAGTTTTAAAACAAAGTTTTGACTTTTTAACAGAAATGTGTGAATTACAATAAATTTACAAAAAAAACAAAACAAAAAAAATAGCTGTGCGATGTATCTTCCAGCGAGAGAACGATGTAGCTCACAGCTTGCCAAGTAAAATAGAGGCTTACTTTGGATTGGTAGCCAGGTAGAGTAGGTTTTGTTGCCAGACTATGCAGACCCCTCCTTACTTCACCTCCTTCCCGCCAGCCGTCAACCCTCTCACTGTTGCCATCTGTTAGAGGCTCCGGCAACTACCTTAGATTTGCTAATATTAGCAAATAATAATGCTTTCTTTTAAAACTTTTGCATTCCTCTTTTAATTTCAAATTATAAAAATAGTTAATACGTTTAAGCCATATTAAATTTTCAAATAAAAATGCCAGCTAGTAAATATTTTCCACGGTGCCTATATAATATAGAAATAAACTCACAGTAGTCACCAATTTTATCTAGCGCTCCTGGCAGCCAGGAAACATCTAGAAAATTTAACATTACTGTATTGTTCTTTGGCCCGAATTGTTTTAAACAATGCTTCTTTAAACTCATATCAAGTTTAATAATTTTAACATAATTTTTTAAATATGAAATTCAGATATTTTTAGTACGTGTCCCTAGATGCCTAGAGAAGAAGAAATCAATACCTGGGTCATAAATCAAATAATTTTGTTCCAATGAAATCTATCTTGAGATTCTGACTGGGGGATTACTTCTTCCAGGGCAGGGTTGATGCGTGCTGGCACTACAGTATTTGTTATAAATTCATATGCTTTTAATTGTTAATAAATTCAGGATAACCTGGAAGCTTAAATCCAGGCCTAGAGGATGACATGTAAAAATACTGAATAACGAAAAGCTTAATTCTTTCTATTTTTGGAGCTTTTCACGAGGTAAGAAAGGATTTATTGTACTTTTAACCCCTAGAATGCCAAGGGCTCAACAAAATTGTCTAGGGTTAACCAGATTCAAGTCCCAGAAGCCGTTCATAGCAATGAGAGAGTTAAAAGAAAAATCCTCCAGTTGCTGATTAAGGCGTCAAGCACCATGAAGCACTTTTATTTTTTTTATAGCTCAATCATGTAAGTACGGGTTGAGCTTTTAAACTTCGCAATGAAGTGCTTGGATCACCGTTATTTAATACTGCTTAGTGCAAGAATTTCTAAAACTTGAGCTTGCTTTATTGTCACTAAAGTTAATGTGGTTTTATAACATACATATTCTACTGTACAATATAGTACATTAATTCTGTAAAGGTGACAGAGAGGGTTGCCACTTTATTCCTTAAAATATTCCATCAGAAGCCTATCATCCAGAAATCTGTTACACAATACTGTACAGTACTGTACCTACAGAGTAAGATCCTTTACAGGATTTTCTGGATAATTTTAAAGTTTACTTTTATTGTCTTTTAAATATATACTTTGCAATATACTTTACTGCAAACTGCCCAAATGGCTAATAAGCTCAGAAATGGTGAAAAGGTCAATTAAATTTAAATTAAGTTTCAAATCTGATAGCAAGGAAGGAAAAATAAAAATTGAATTTACTGTATACATGAAGTAGATCATTGCCACACTATGTTAATATGACATATAAAATCTAAACCAACATTAACTGTATTTGATTTTACCACCAAGAACAAAATACAGGATTGTAGCACAGGAAAGTAAAGTACAGTAATACAATACTTTTACTTTACTTTTATCCTCTTCGCCACTGATCATTAGCCACTTGGGCAGCCGGTCACGTATCTGTTACGCACTGTTGGCAAGTACAGTACTGGGCATACACTGGCATCTGAATATATTAGAACCTACTCCAGTGTTGGTCAAGTCTGGCCTTGAATGAGTTCACACTCGGTGCCGTCACAACACTCTCTAGCAGATTGTTCCAAGAGTTCACAGTTCTCACTCCAAAAAAGTTTGCCCTCACAGTTTTCTGGACTTGTGGCTTCTTCAACCTTGAGCTGTGTCCCCTTGTGGGGCGGATGTCCACCAGCTCCAGGCATGTACAGTCTCATTCAAGAATCTTCGAAAGTTGCTGGAGACAGCTGGCAACTCAAGACCGTTTGGTTACTATAGTACGTAGTATAATATAATATAAAACAACAAAGCCCAACCATTAAATTAAGCAACGGGGAACTAAGTAACCAATCACCGATCACTTTTATATTTAATCATAAATTTTACTACGTACTATAGTAAACAAACGGCCTTGATTTGCCAGCTGTCTCCAGTAGTGTTTGAAGAATTTTGAACGAGACTGTACATTCGATCGAGTAGTATCCCCTGATATGTTTATAAACTTTGATTAGGTCGCCCCTTGCCCGTCTGTAGTACTGTATAAGCTAGGCAGTTACAGGCGTTCTAATCTCTCTGGGTAACTGGAGTTCCGTAGAGCAGGCACCAGTCTGGTGGCCCTCCATTGGACATTTTCAATCAATTGACAATCTCTAGCATACCTTGGGGACCAGATGGGGTGACAGTACTCCAGACAGGGAAGCACCTCACTCTTGAAGATTGTGACAAGCAACGGACCATCCAGATATCTATATGACCTTCTTATAAGACCCACTAGTTTCGTTACCTGATTCACCTTCTTCTCACAATGGCCCAAGAACTTAAGTTCATTGTCAACATACACACCCAGGTCCTTTTCACATTCGGTCTCAATTACAGTAATGCAGTTTCTTTGTCCCGTTGGGACATATGATATGCTTCCTTACTGTTGGTGAGACCCAGGTGCAGCCTCTTACACTTCGTGACATTGAATCTTAGCAGCCATTTCTTAGACCATTCTTGAAGCTCAAAGAGATCTTTCTGTAGCTCTTCACAGTCTGTTTGGTTCTTAATTTCCCTAAATAACTTGGTATTGTCCGCAAACATTTGTATGGAGAAGTGTATAGCTTCTGGGGTACACTGTCGAAAGCCTTGGCAAAATCTAGGTATATTTTGTCGATATTTCCGCTTTGTTCAAGAATGAGTCAACATCCAGTACCTTGAGTAATTGTGTTAATCAGGAGCGCCCCGGCATAAATCTGTGTTGGCAATCCTTTACAAGGTTGTTTCGTAGTAGATATTCCATCATGACAACTCTTATGGTGCTCTCAAGTACTTTACACACTATGCTGGTCAGGCTCACTAGCCTATAATTACTCGTGGAACGTAGGGATTGCTAGGTTGTCTTTGAGCCTGCATTCTTCTGTTATCAGTGTATTGAGCTTGTGTTTTCTTAATATCTTGGCAGTTTGTAATAGTTTGGCAACAATGATGCTGTTAGGTTTATTGATTACTTGAACTCTTTGTTGCACCCTATGTCCTATGTTTCACTGTCTGTACTGTACACTGAAATATTTGTACAGTATGTATTTGCATATGTACAAGATTAACCAAAGTAAATTATTAAAGGTATTATGGTAATACACCCCAAAAAATTCCAAAAAGCTTGTTCTGGTGTTGAAACATGCCACAAAAAAACAGGCTACAATACCAGTTAATCTATCATAAAAAAAAAAATCCTCTTTGATAAATGACTAGCATACTTATTCCTGCTAAATAGCAAATCAATGTTGGATTTTATTATAATTTAGTAACAATTGTTGTGTACTGTATATGATTACGTGGTTACATGATGTCTATGTCTTAAATTCATAATTGTTTCAGTGTTGTTTCTCAGCTACAGCATGAGGAAAATAAACTTTGCTACTTGACAGGTGTATTGATATTGAAAAGTGGTATAGTATTAATCAAGGTCTGTTCCTTTATGGGTATCAAGGAACTATTCATCCTCTCTTTCCACCTTTCTACAGTACAGTACCAATACTGTACCATAGCAGGGACATTAGGTTATAATCAATTGTATGGCTGTGAAACTCTTACTGTAATACCGTATTGTCATATGTTGTTAAATTTAACCATTTTCTGTTTTGGTATTCCCATCCTTTTAATTATGACCTTGAAATACTTGTGGGCTAATCAGCAGTTGGTGGCACCCATTGTTTATCTGTTAAAGTGAAGTGACTGTCCAGGAATAAAATAGTATTGTTCTCCACACAAGAGTAATCTGCAGGGGTGTCTTTACATTTTTTTATATTAGTTACTTATTGTGGAACGAAGAATCCACCAATACTGTATACAGTATTATAATGATGTAATATCAAGTACTGTACTGTACTAATAATACATAGTAATATTAGAATGTTGACATGTTGTAATATAGAGTACTGTATAGAGTATTATGTAAATTCTGATCCACTATACTGTACAGTACTCAAAATTAGTAGCTTAAGATCATTTCTACATGTAAACTGCTATATCATACCCATGAAATGCCACTCAGGATGGTTATAAAGAATTTAACTTGGACTTCCCATGGGAAGGTTTACTTTATCCTCTTCACCACTGCTGATTGGCTTATTAGCTGCTTAGGTGGTCAGTTACGTCTCTGTTACGCATTGTTAGCAAACACTGGGCATGGACTGGTTCCCGGATGTATCTGTACCTGCACCAGTGTTGGTCAAGTCTGGTTTTGAATGAGCTCACAATCGATGCCGTCACAACACTTTGGCAGATTGTTCCAAGAGTTCACAACCTGCCAGCTCCAGATATAGTCACTCGACTAACAAGCTGATCAGTGGTGAAGGGGATAAAAGTAAAAGTGTAAAAGTACTGTATGGATATCCTCTGAGGTGTTTATAGACTTCTATTAAGTCACCCCATGCCTGCCTATAGTATAAGCTATGCAATTGCAGGTATTCTTATCTCTCAGGGTGGCTCTCCTTTGGATGTTTCAATAAACAGAGTCTCTAGCATTTTTCAGGGACCAGATGGGGGTGACAATATAATGGGGAAGCACCTCATTCTTTAAGAGCATTGTGAGGTCCTGACGGTTTTATGAACTTGTGGTTTCTTCAACCTTAGATTGTACTTTAGGTATGAACACTTGACTGAGTAATGTCTTCTGAAGTGTTTAAAAACTTCTATTAAGTCTTGTTTGATAGTTCATTTCAGGTTAAGTGTTGGATCCTTCATTATTCCATTATGGTGGATTTTGGTAATGTTTTATCCTCTGCCTCCTAACCTGTGCAGATGATACTTGTACATACTAGTTAATTTTATATGTTATAATATGTCATCTCTGCTAAATGCTTGTTGTTAGCCAAGATTTTTGGTTGTGAATTATGAAAGCACTAGATCTATCCAGTATGATTTTTCTGACCTGTTCATAGCTGAATCTACTCTTGCTTTGGAGGTTGAGTCTTGCCAGTCCTGGATACTTTGTAACATGTCCCCATCTCTCTGTTTTCACTGTACGGGGTGTCTCTGCTGAATAAAATTGTCTGTCATTAGCCAAACAAAGTACTGAAAGTGGCATCCAGTAGTGAATGGGTTAACCTAGAAGTAAAGGATTGATCCTGAAAGCTCTTTTTTTTTGGGGGGGGGGCACAGCTAGCCCTCTTGTGTACCCTCTTTATAGTTTTTTGTCTTGTTTGTTAAGAGATGATACCCTTTCATTATCCAGATCATGGTTTCTTGCAGATTCACAGATGGAAGAGTGCTTGCATGGCAATTGCTGATTGGATGGATACCAGCTAAAAGCTGACTTCCAGCCTTTCTCTCCCCTTTCCATCCATTTCAGGGTGAGAGGGCAACAACTACACTTGCTCAACTTGTTTGAAGCTAGGTGTGCAGTGGGAAAGTTGCCCTGTAGTACAAGAACAATCTGGACATAAGCTTTGTCAAAAAAAAGGATTTCAGCCCTGTAGCTACCAGTTGTCCTAAATAGTCCCACAGTTTTCATCATAATTTTTGTGGCTTGGAAAGGCACTTCACACCGAATCTAAATTGTATGAGTTAGCCCCAAATCTTCTAAAGTCCTGCCAAATTATTTATTCTTGTAATTCATATATAAGCATGTTCATGTTCTGTATTGGTTGGGGAATTCAACAAAATAGTCATCTATAATGTCTGAACTGTGTATGTTTCACTATTTTCAGATACAAGTACTGTACGGTAGAATTTTAGATGAACATTAGGTATGGGACTGCAGGAAATTGTCACAGTCTTAGAGACTTACAGAGGACGGGAGAAAACCTTGCGCACAGTACAATATGGTTTACTCCTTTTAACTCCACTAGCTAAGGAAAATACCAGGTAAGGTTAAGTTTTAATTTTGAATTATATTTAGCTTGTATAGAGGGGAAGCTGCATGCATTACTATGTTGATAAAATTGGTCCCCATTATTTGTCTCCACTTGATTTGTTGTTTCACATAATTGTTGCTCATAAGTAGCAGAAAAACTTGTCATTATTCTTTGTTTACATTCCACCTTTTTGTTGTTCAGTCTACTTGCCATGATAGAGTAATAAGTCAAAACAAGTATACTGTGCTACTTCTAGTTTTTTATTTACGAAGGATTTTCTAGTAACATACAGTAACCTGTATTTGCATTATTTAGTATGGATACTGTACTTCTGGGTGGTACACCTGCTGTCAAGCATGACACATCAGCAATGCCAGGATCCATCTGTGAGATATTTGGGAGTTTTTATATCTTGTGGGTCTCTTACTTGTCTACTCAGTCATGAAATGGGATTTGTTACTTCACTCCTCCATTTCTCAATACAGTACATACCTGTATTTTTAAGGCATTTTTTTCTTTTAATCAGTTTAAATACTCAGAATTTACTTTCATTTGCATAACCACACATATGCAGACATGAAAGCCTGTTGTCATGAAACATTTGCAAGAGAAAATCTGTTACACCTGTACAGTATATATTTTCTCAAATTAAAACAGCTGAAATATTGTATGATTTTGCAGAAGTCATCTTTTAATTAAATTACATCCCTTTTGGCTTTCTTTTAGAACTGCACTTCAGACTGTCAGTTCACAATTTGGTATGGCTAGAGTCATCTTGAGACTGTTTGATGATCTTCCTATGCTTCAGTATTCCTGGTCTTGCATCAGAAGCACCAAGGTTTGTTCATGTTTTTGACTGCCTGCCATTAGTACAGCAGACAAGTATTGTAGAGGACTCATCTTTCCACTTTTCCCTCCATAATGCTTATATATATATATATATATATATATATATATATATATATATATATATATATATATATATATATATATATATATATATATATATATATATATATATATATATATATATATATATATATATATATATATATATATATATATATATATACAGTGACCCCTAGTTTAACGAAATTTCGGTTAACGAACTGCCTTCCATAAGGATCTTCAATTCGGTTAACGAACAAAAATTCGGTTAACGAATTTCTTACGAACCGACCTCAACATGTTTTCGCTTGCACTGGCCGGGCAACCAGCTTTAGTATCAGTCCACCAATACATTAATCGGTTCTAGGGCTTAAATTCCTAACTATTTTAGTAAATATCAAGAAGTTTATACTATTCAATAATTTTAAAAGTTTAATATTAAATTTTTTAGTCATTTTAACAATTATTGAACATAATTGAAGGTAAAGTGACTAGTTTAATGCGCAGCATCCAGCCTCTTAACACAGCAAACAGGCGTTAGTCTCTCTGTTTTCACTGGAGGTAATATCTTGCTTGAGACTCTCTTCAACTAAACGCTTTTTTTCTGTGTTTCCAAGCAAATTATTGGTCATTTTGAAATATATTTTACATATTGACAATATATAATGCAGTACAGTGTTGATTTAAAGAAAATAATCTTGAAATACACCAAGAGAACTAAAATTTTATGGGTGAAATGGTGCCATGGGGTGACTTCTCTTCCACCCCAATGCCTTCTCTTCTTCCTTCTCCTCCACCCCCATTGTAATTCCCATCATCATCATCATCATCCAGGAGCCTTCTACATACACACCTCAAAGTAAGTGAAATTTTCTACCATTTTTGTTGAATTTAGGAAATTTTCGGTGAGCTGGAACCAATTACCCAAAAACCCATTGAAACAATGGTTTCGGTTAACGAACGTTTCGGTTAACGAACGACCTTCTGGAACGGATTGAGTTCGTTAACCGAGGGGTCACTGTATATATATATATATATATATATATATATATATATATATATATATATATATATATATATATATATATATATATATATATATATATATATATATATATATATATATATATATATATATATATATATATATATATATATATATATTTCATGTAAATCCACAATGAAAACGTGGAGAGGATAAATCTTGATAAAATCACACGGGAAAATGGAAACAACGGAGTACCTTAGCTTTCGTCTTTATTCAAGACATCTTCAGAGGCAACTGAAGATGTCTTGAATAAAGACGAAAGCTAAGGTACTCCGTTGTTTCCATTTTCCCGTGTGATTTTATCAAAATATATATATATATATATATATATATATATATATATATATATATATATATATATATATATATATATATATATATATATATATATATATATATATATATATATATATATATATACAGTGACCCCTCGTTTAACGAACACCTCGGTTAACGTAATTTCGATTAACGAACTGCCTTCCATAAGGATCTTCAATTCGTTTAACGAAAAAAATTTCGCTTAACGAACTTCTTACGAACCGACCTCAACATGTTTTCGCTTGCACTGACCGGGCAACCAGCTTTAGTATCAGTCCACCAATACATTAATCGGTTCTAGGGCTTAAATTCCTTACTATTTTTGTAAATATCAAGAAGTTTATACTATTCAATAATTTTAAAAGTTTAATATTCAATTTTTTAGTCATTTTAACAATTATTGAACGAAATTGAAGGTAAAGTGACTAGTTTAATGCGCGGCATCCAGCCTCTTAACACAGCAAACAGGCGTCAGTCTCTCTCTGTTTTCACTGGAGGTAACATCTTGCTTGAGACTCTCTTCAACTAAATGCTTTTTTTCTGTGTTTCCAAGCAAATTATTGGTCATTTTGAAATATATTTTATATATTGACAATATATAATGCAGTGCAGCATTGATTTAAAGAAAATAATCTTGAATTAAACCAGAGAGCTAAAATTTTATGGGTGAAATGGCACCATGGGGTGACTTCTCTTCCACCCCAATGCCTTCTCTTCTTCCTTCCCCTCCACCCCCATTCTAAATCCCATCATCATCATCATCATCCAGGAGCCTTCTACATACACACCTCAAAGTAAGTGAACTTTTCTACCATTTTTGTTGAATTTAGGAAATTTTCGGTGAGCTGGAACCAATTACCCAAAAACCCATTGAAACAATGGTTTGGTTAACGAACGTTTCGTTATGAACGACCTTCTGAACGGATTGAGTTCGTTAACCGAGGGGCCACTGTATATATATATATATATATATATATATATATATATATATATATATATATATATATATATATATATATATATATATATATATATATATATATATATATATATATATATATATATATATATATATATATATATATATATACAGTTGTACCCCACTTAACGCGGTCAATTGAACCCAGAGGGTCCCGCGCTAAGTGAAATCCGCGTTAAGTGAACAACAGAACATATGGGATTAATTCCAATAGAACCCAGCCCGACCCCCAAACTCCACTTTTTGACGACACATAACTATGTTGTAGTAAAAATTCTATCTTAACTTTATGATGGTATGAAAAAACAAGTAATATAGAAGAGGTTAGGTTAGGAAAGATAAAGGTTAACATAGGAAAAATAAAGAATAGGTTAAAAAACGAAAAATTTTGTGGAACACTTACGGTAGTAGAAGAGATGGGTCGGCATACGGGGATGGAGGCTGGTTCCGAGGCAGAGGGCAGATTACTGGCCCTCAGGTGAATCACCATTACTAGGTGAATCAACATCACTGTCACTTACAGTTGTCAGGGCTTCCCTGACAAATCCCTCAAAGTCAACTTCACTTTCACTATCACTGGCTTGGGCTGGCTGTGGTGGGTTGCGGGCGAAGAACTCGGTTATGCTTTGCTGACGGCTGGTGTTGATGTTGTCGTGATACACCTTGATGTACGGCTCCATAGCCTGCACCAGTCGGGTATGGAAGACTTCATAGCGTTCATCGTCATTGTCGCGGGAAAGGACGGACTTAATTTTTTCTGTAAACTCTATGACACACTTAATATCACTATGACTTAAACTAGGTTCTTCGGAGAATGACGCACCTTCTTCCTCCTCTTCACTGGCGTGTTCTTCTTCCAACATCTCGTCGGCAGTCACTTCAGGATCTTTGATCACCTCCAGGATGTCTTCGTTGGTGGTCTCGGAGAAGCCTTCAGCTGTAATATTGAGCGCAGCTTCTCTGGCAAGGTCCACTGCTACTGCAACAGTCTGAACCTCACCAGTCACAGGTTCACTCCTCCTCTCACCTGGTATGCCATGCAACACATGTCTCCATGCGTGACGAATCGTAGCAATAGTCAGCAGATCCCATGCCTCCACCAAGAAGTCTACAGCTTGTTTAACGTTAAACTTCTTCCAAAATTGTTTGACGAGAAGTTCTTGAGTCGCCGCCTCTTGTTCCTTGTCCTCGTCGCTTTTGCTCTCGCTGTCGGTGTCACCCAGCTTACGCAACTCATCCTTGGTGTTGGTAGAGTCGTTCAGGAGCTTGAACTTCTTTGCAGAGTACGCAGCTTTCACATTGCAGATCAACTCCTGGTCCATGGGCTGGATTAATGACGTAGTGTTGGGAGGAAGGAAGACCACTTTTACGTTGGGGTGACGATCCATAAGTAGGGGCGAGTGTCCAGGTGCGTTGTCAAGGAGCAACAAAATGTTGAATGGAACATTCTGTTGCTCGCAGAATTTCTTCACGTCAGGAACAAAACAGTTGTCAAACCAGAAGAGGGACAGAGAAGAGGACATCCACGCCTTACGTGCGGTTAGCCAGTGGACATTAAGCTTGTTCATGTCCATATTCTTGTAGGCGTGCGGCTTGCGGGCTGTGTGAATCACCGATAACTTTGGTTTACAGGTACCGGAGGCATTGGTGGTAAACAGGGCGGTGATGCGTTCCTTCTGCAACTTCCGACCCCTTACCTTGCTGGCAGACTGGACAACGAAGGTCTTGGAAGGTAACTTTTTCCAGAAAAGACCAGATTCGTCCATGTTAAACACCTGGTCGTCGGTGTACTGTCCTTCCTCCATAATCTCACGTAAGAACGGAGGAAAATCTCTAGCCGCCACACGGTCAGCACTCGCTTCCTCACCACCAATGTTGATGTTGGTGATCTTGTTCCTCTTCTTAAACCTATGCAGCCAACCAGAGGAAGCATTGAAGGGTTTGGGCTCTGCAATTCCCAGTTTACGTGTCACTGCTGCGTATAGCTCACGTGCGTACTCCTGCACTGAGCGCGTGTCCACCGCCATGTTGCGTCGCGCCTGACGCACCAAATAACTCACCAGCAAATTTTCCACTTTTGCCAGCACCCTGTTCTGGCAATACCTGATAGATGAAGCACCTGCAGACTTTGTGATTTTCATGTGCTCTTTGATCTTGGCTGCATCCTTCTTGATCGTACGAATCGTAGATTCGTTGACGCCATGCTGGCGCGCGAGATCAACTTGCCGTCTTCCTTTCTCCAAATCTTGAACAATTTGGTACTTCACCTCGTAGCTTAATGAACGTCGTGTCTTCTTTGGCTTAGTGCCGCTGGGTCCAGGTAAGGAAAGGTCTCTCTCTGGTGGCGGTGGTGGTCCGGCGGAAGCCATTTTACGGAACAATGGATGCGCGTTAACACGGGGTGGCCTTGAGGGATGAAACTGCCGCGGCTAGGTCAAGCGTCGTCTCTCCTCCCTCCCTCCCTCCCTCCCTCCCCCGGGGTGGTCACGTCATAATACTTTAAGCCAATTACAGCTAGCAGCAGAGGGGGGTAGGGATGCATGGCCAATCACAGTCCGATACGTCATATGACGTCAGTGATAACGCAACAAAGACACACACTGCGCAACCTTACCGCGCCGCTTGCCCAAGCGGAGGAAGGAGGAGGGAGAGGCGATGAGCGCAGGCAGGCAGGCGGGCGGGTGGCGCTAGGGGCAAATCTAAAAATAGCGTCTCGAGCCGGACACTCACCGCGTATATGTGGAAAAAATCCGTGTTAAGTGAAAGTTCAGCTCTGGCAATGCACCGCGTATACGGTAAAATGCGCTAAGTGAAACCGCGTTAGGCGGGGTAATACTGTATATATGTATATATATATATATATATATATATATATATATATATATATATATATATATATATATATATATATATATATATATATATATATATATATATATATATATATATATATATACAGTGACCCCTCGTTTACTTGAACACCTCGGTTAACGTAATTTCGATTAACGAACTGCCTTCCATAAGGATCTTTGGTCGGTTAGAAAAAAATTCGGTTAACGAAGTTCTTACAGACGAAACCTCAACATGTTTTAAACACTGACCGAGACAACCAGCTTTAATCAGTCCGCCAATACATTAACGGTTCTAGGGCTTAAATTCCTTACTATTTTAGTAAATATCAAAGAAGTTTATACTATTCAATAATTTTAAAGTTTAATATTCAATTTTTAGTCATTTTAACAATTATTGAACATAATTGAAGGTAAGTGATTAGTTTAATGCCGCATCCAGCCTCTTAACACAGCAAACAGGAGTTAGTCTCTCTCTGTTTTCACTGGAGGTAACATCTTGCTTGAGACTCTCTTCAACTAAACGCTTTTTCTGTGTTTCCAAACAAATTATTGGTCATTTTGAAATATATTTTACATAATGACAATATATAATGCAGTGCAGTGTTGATTTAAAAGTAATCCTGAATTACACCAAGAGAGAGCTAAGAATTTTATGAGTGAAATGGCGCCATGGGTGACTTCTCTTCCCACCCCAATGCCTTATCTTCTTCCTTCTCCTCCACATTCTTGTCCATCCATCATCATCATCATCCTCATCATCATCATCATCATCATCATCATCATCATCCAGGAGCCTTCTACATACACACCTCAAAGTAAGTGAACTTTTCTACCATTTTTGTTGAATTTAAGAAATTTCGATGAGCTGGAACCAATTACCCAAAACCCATTGAAACAATGGTTTCGGTTAACGAACTTTTCGGTTATGAGCGACCTTCTGGAGCAGTTGAGTTAGATTGGAGGGTCACTGTATATATATATATATACTGTATATATATATACTGTGTATATATATATATATATATAGGAGGATCACTGTATATATATATATATAATATATATATATAATATATATATATATATATATATATATATATATATATATATATATATATATATATAATAATATAATACACACTCGACCTACGACCACCCAAACCACCTCCTCAGTTGTACCAAAATGTTGTCAAATTACGTACTTTCAAGTCCCAGCGTTAGTGATTAAGCTGTGTACGGACAAAATTTTTTATTGTAATTCACTTTAAAATGGTGAGAAGAAAAAAGACACCCATTTTAGATTTTTTATGTATTATTTAAGCATTTTCGACTTACAACCTGTATATAATACTTGTACTGTTATTAGTGAGTGACCTATGAGATCCAAATCGATAAAACATTGCCTGGTGGAGTTTATCCTTTGCTGTAGGCACAATGTGTTTCATTTGTAAAATATTATTTAATATCCTTAAACATTTACATTGCATGAAGTTGTTGAAACAAAGTCTTGATCTGTAACTACACCAAACAACTTCACATGTTTTGTTAGATTCTGTTGGCATCATGCTCAGTACTGAGAGGTAGAAAGTTGGCAGGGTATTTTTTTATGCCTGAATTATGCCTAAAACAAATTATGTTTCATGTATGTTGTTGAATGTACCAAAATAACATGGGCAAAATTGGGACTGGAGTTGACCTTTAATAGAAAGTGCAAAGATGGATAAATGTGCAAATATTTATATGTAATGTTATAAAGAGTGTATGGAATATTATACTTTTAATATGGAAATTATCTTGTTGAATATGGATGAATGGAGTGATAAATAGAGGATAACTTGTAATTCATAATAATTTTATTTTAGGGTAAAGACACATTTCTGAGGTGTCTGGAGCTGACAAACATTGCAGTGGACCAGCTGTACTTTCCTTTGGAACACATTGCCTGGGCTCGTGACATGAAAGTACTTAAGGGAAATTCTGCATCACTTTGGCATGCATCCCTACTGCTATGGGGACTTTCACTTGTTTTAACAATAGTAAGGTGAGTTAATAATTGATAAGGAGAATCTAGTCAAGTGGAGGATAGGTGTTCTAGTCCGGGTACATCGCTAAATTAAAAGCATAACATCTCATTGTAGAAAAAGCAAGGAAAGAGAAGATATCTTCAAAGCAGTTAACTTTTCTAATAAGATTGGAAAAAAGACTAAAATTTCTAATTTGTTTACTTGGTTGACAAGAAGTCTGTGATTGAGTTATACTGTACCAATAGTGTGTCAATTATTGTTACCTAATTGCTCAGGAATTTCTGATTTGTAAAATTTCTGATTCAAGAAACTATTATTATTGCAGGTTTACCTCAATTTAGGGAAGAGTTTGATTCCTGAAAAACCTCTCATAAGTCAAAATTTGTAAATTGAAACACATTTTTTCATAGATTTCTGTTATAAAAGCTAAGATACATTCAATAAAAGTCCCTAAAACATCTTTAAATCCCACAAAAAAATTTAATGTAATTTTGTGTAAACAACGATTATAAGCCAATAATAAACAAATTATATACCTTTACTTCCAACAAACCCCCAAAAAATGGATTGCCACTTACAGCAGAGTTAACTCAATTCATACCTGTATAATAATGTTGTTGTGTTTCATCATGTTTAGATACTTCTGCTTGTGTGTAGCCTTGCTGAGGCTCTTCCTGAGGCACTACCTGGGAAGGTCTCCCACGGTTACTAAGCTACTCATGTAGTATCATTATGATCCTGACCAATATCAGTGCCCAGTTTCTTTCACTATTTTCAGGTTGACTAATGTTACACACTACAGGTATTGTATATTACTAAATACAATCTTTGCTTCAAGCTTCAGTATATTAATTTCAGGTCTCTACGTCACATTTATTCGATGAAGCAACAAACGAAAGAGAATACGACTGAAGAAAGGTAAGAAAATTATCTGAGCCACAGAGTACTGTACACTCAGAGTTCCTGTTAACCCCTTCACTACTGAATGCCATGTTTAATATTTTATTTGACTAATGTCAGACAATTTATTCAGCAAAGAGAGACCCCCATACACAAGAGGTTAAGTAGAAAAAGGATCATTGTTAATTTAAGTAATATATTATGCCATTAACATCTTTTAGGATACAAATTTGTAAGTTTATATTTATATATTTTAATTACCAATTTCATGTAGTATTCATTATACAGCACTATATAGTATTTCTAAGTCTCTCTTATTCTCTGTCTGCCTGTTTATGTCCGTTGCTTTTTCTGTCATACACTGGACCCTGGCATAAACTAGCATAGCAACTTGGTGGGTCATAGAGTATAATTTTTTTTTTATGATCACACTTAATAAGTTGAAGATTTAGAAAAATTAAGGAATAAAATACTATCCACTAACAGTAAAATTTCTTCAGGTAGAGTAGCAATTTTTTTAAATGTAGAAAGAAATACAGTTCCTCCCCTACTTACGACCTACTCGACTTACGACCACCACACTTATGACCTGCCTCAGTCGTACCAAAATTTGGTCAAATTACGTATTTTCGAGTCCCAAAGTCAGTACACAGACACAATTTTCGTTTGTAATTCACTTTAAAATGGCTGGCAAGCTTAAAAGTGAGTGTTTGTGGTGCTGAGAAGAAAAAGAGACACCCATTTTAGATTTTCTATGTATTATTTAAGCATTTCCGACTTACGACCTGGATGTCGGTCCCTAACCCCGTCGTAAGTCGGGGAGGAGCTACTATGTGATAAAGTACTGCAAGGAGTGTTAATGATTCATATGAGTTCTAGGGTGTAAAAAGAGATGATTATGAGCAATCATCATCATCATCAACATTTTTATGGCACATTCTTCCCTTGCTATCATGTTTACATCCTAGAAACTTTCAGTCTGATTTCCTGAGAAATATGTAATCAATCTGGACTTTTGTGCCACCTAACTCATATGCAACTACTGTATATCCATGGCATCCCCAAACTCAAGTACAGTACTATTCTTTCTTCCATATTCCTTGTAGTACCATTGCCTTTTCCACCATGCACACCTTCACCAACCCTCAGTGTGTATACCAGCATAATTATCTGTGTAGGCCACTACCCATGAAGGTACTGTACTATGATTCTCATTACCCAGGTTCAGCATTACACACATCAACTCATACCAGAATTTGCCTTTTCTTCCTTTTTTAGCCCAACCTGTGAAACCTAGAATTTTGCAGAAGTGGTGTGAGGGTGAGGCATAATCTATACTGTATGATGCATAATCCTGACTTGGATATAGAATGGGAGGATAAAGCAATAAAAGTACAGTATTCTGAGTCACGTTCTTGGAATCTGTGACTAGGGTGTAATAAGCAAGAATTGCAATTGCATATGACTAATTTTTATTTGAAACTGGTTTGATAGATATGAAGAAACTTTTACTTTTTTCCCTTAGGGACAGAGTTGATGCAATGTATAAAGCAGAGCTGTTAACAGTGATCATGCAAGCAGCAAATCTTCTTAATGCCTTAAACTGGATGCCACGTAGGCCATGGACTAAGCCTTTCTAACGTAACGCAGGTAAGGTTACAGTGTGCCTGGAGGCCTTGGCATCTGCCTTTTCCTTTGTGGCAAATAATGACAGTCCCAAATACTATTTCCTCTTCACTGATATAGTAACACAGGTGATGAAAAACAACAAAATAGGAATGAATACTATAGGAGATTAATAAAAAAACTAATTGGAATATATATATATATATATATATATATATATATATATATATATATATATATATATATATATATATATATATATATATATATATATATATATATATACATACAATTACCCCCTTAGCATAATTGAACCCAGAGTCCCAGCGTTAAGTGAAATCAAGTGAACAACAGAACATATGGGATTAATTCCAATAGAAACCGACCCGACCCCCAAACTCCACTTTTGAAGGCACATACCTGTATTTGTAGTAAAAATAACATTAATATGATGGTACATGCACACAATTAATACTTAAGAGAAAAAGAAATACAGTCGCCAAGTTAATGTCCATTCAAATAATGGACTCAACTCCTCCTCTCACACTACACTGCCGGCTCTTCCCTCTCAGAGAAATTTTGGGGAAAACCACTAAATTTTTAATAAATAATACCTCAAACTAAAGTTAGGATAATACAATTGACATTGCACGATTCCTTGTAAGACCAGGAATATTTTGAATATAAATGTCATATATTTTGCACAAAAGATAACATAGTTACCTAGAGAAAAATTTGTATCTAAAATTTGTATGTCTAATGCAAAATATATGATGTTTATTCCAAAATGATCCTAATATAAATTCCAGCAATGTAAATATATTCTGGCGGGTAATTTATGAATTTTATGAGCTAAAACAGGCAGTCAGGCAGGGTGGGGGCAAATCTAAAATAAGCGTCTCGAGCCGGACACTCACCGCGTATATGTGGAAAAATCCGTGTTAAGTGAAAGTTCAGCTCTGGCGAGGCACAGCATATATTAAAACAGCGTTAAGTGAAACGCGTTAGAAGTAATACTGTATATTAAACGGCGACACATAACTATGTTGCAGTAAAAATTTTATCTTAACTTTATGATGGTATGAAAAAACAAGTAATATAGAAGAGGTTAGGTTAGGAAAGATAAAGGTTAACATAGGAAAAATAAAGGTAAGGTTAGAAAACTAAAAATTATGTGGAACACTTACGGTAGTAGAAGAGATGGGTCGGCATACGGGGATGGAGGCTGGTTCCGAGGCAGAGGGCAGATTACTGGCCCTCAGGTGAATCACCATTACTAGGTGAATCATCATCACTGTCACTTACAGTTGTCAGGGCTTCCCTGACAAATCCCTCAAAGTCAACTTCACTGTCACTATCACTGGCTTGGGCTGGCTGTGGTGGGTTGCGGGTGAAGAAATCTGTTATGCTTTGCTGACGGCTGGCGTTGATGTTGTCGTGATACACCTTGATGTACGGCTCCATAGCCTGCACCAGCCGGTTATGGAAGACTTCATAGCGGTCATCGTCATTGTCGCGGGAAAGGAAGGACTTCATCTTCTCTGCACACTCCATGGCACCCTTAATATCACTATGACTTAAATTGTGTTCTTCGGAGACTGCCGCACCTTCTTCCTCCTCTTCACTGACGTGTTCTTCTTCCAACATCTCGTCGGCAGTCTTTTCAGGATTTCTGATCACCTCCAGGATGTCGTCGTTGGTGGTCTCGGAGAAGCCTGGAACTGTAACAGTCTGCGCAGCTTCTCTGGCAAGGTCCACTGCTACTGCAACATTCTGAACATCACCAGTCACAGATTGACTCCTCCTCTCACCTGGTATTCCATGCAACACATGTCTCCATGCGTGACGAATTGTAGCAATAGACAGCTGATCCCATGACTCCACCAAGATGTCCACAGCTTTCTTGATGTTAAATACTCTCCAGAATTGTTTGAAGAGTATTTTTTGCTGTTCTAACTGTTGTTCCTCATCTTCGTCGCTCTTGCTATCGGTGGTGGTGTCACTCAGGTCACGCAACTCTTCCCTGGTGTTGGTGTAGTCGTTCAGGAGCTGGAATTTTTTTGTTGAGAATGCAGCTTTCACATTGCAAATCAACTCCTGGTCCATGGGCTGGATTAAAGACGTAGGAAGGAAGACCACTTTTACGTTGGGGTGACGATCTAACAGTAGGGGCGAGTGTCCTGGTGCGTTGTCCAGCAGCAACAAAATATTAAATGGGACATTCTGTTGCTCACAGAATTTCTTTACATCGGGAACAAAACAGTCATCAAACCAGGAGAGGGACAGTGTAGAGAACATCCATGCCTTACGTGCTGTCAGCCAGTGGACATTTAGCTTGGTCATGTCCATGCTCTTGTAGGCGTGCGGCTTGCGGGCTGTGTGGATCACCGATAACTTGAGCTTACAGGTACCGGAGGCATTGGTGGTAAACAGGACGGTGATGCGTTCCTTCTGCATTTTCCGGCCCCGAATCCTGCTGGCATTCTTCACAACGAAGGACTTGGAAGGTAGTTTTTTCCAGAAGAGACCAGATTCGTCCATGTTAAACACCTGGTCGTCACTGTACTGTCCTTCCTCCATAATCTCACGTAAAAACGGAGGAAATTCCCGAGCCGCAGCACGATCAGCACTCGCTTCTTCACCACCAATGTTTATATTGGTGATCTTGTTCCGGATCTTAAACCTCTGTAACCACCCAGAGGAACAGTAAAGCGTTTGGGCTCTGAAGTTCCCATCTTTCGTGCCACTGCCATGTACAGTTCACGTGCGTAGTCCTTCACAGAGCGCGTGTCGACCGCCATGTTCCGTCGCGCCTGACGCACCAAGTACCTCACAAGTAATTTTTCTGTCTTGAGAAGCACCTGGTTGTCAAAATACTTGATCATAGAAGCACCTGTAGACTTTGTGATCTTCATGTGCTCCTTTATCTTGGCTGAATCCTTCTTTATAGTCCGGATCGTAGATTCGTTCACGCCATGCTGGTGCGCCAAATCAACCTGCCTTGTTCCTTTCTCCAACTCTTTGATGATGCTATACTTCACCTCGTAGCTTAAGGAACGTCGTGTCTACTTTGGTTTAGTGCCGCTGGGTCCAGGTAAGGAAAGGTTTTTCTCTGGGGGTGGTGGTCCGGCGGAAGCCATTTTACGGAACAATGGATGCGCGTTTACACGGAGTGGCCTGGAGGGATGAAACTGCCGCGGCTAGGTCAAGCGTCGTCTCTCCTCCCTCCCCCGGGTGGACACGTCATAATACTTTAAGCCAATTACAGCTAGCAGCAGAGGGGGGTAGGGATGCATGGCCAATCACAGGTCTGATACGTCATATGACGTCAGTGATAACGCAACAAAGACACACACTGCGCAACCTTACCGTGCCGCTTGCCCAAGCGGAGGGAGGAGGAGGGAGAGGCAGGCAGGCGGGCGGGTGGGTGGCGCGTGGGGCAAATCTAAAAATAGCGTAGCGCCGGACACTCTCCGCGTAATGGCGTTCACGACCGCGGAATGTGAGCACGTGAGGTTCTGGCAAGGCACCGCGTTAACGGTGAACCGCGGAATGCGGGACCGCGTAATGTGAGGGTTGACTGTGTATATATATATATATATATATATATATATATATATATATATATATATATATATATATATATATATATATATATATATATATACTGACTTGATCTTTCAATAAAATAGATTGCTTTCTATATTATTTTATTTTAGTGCACAAACAATTTCCCAACAGGTTGGGATCCTTGGCTTGGTATCTTCTCTCATCAGTTTTAGTAAGCTTCTGTCAACTCAGAGATTTTAATGTCATTATGGAAGATTCATAAATTTAATGTTAGACAAAGAGGTGCTCACAGAACTACCATGTAAAAAGAAGTTGAAAGAGATTTTCTAACATCAGTTTTATTACAGTAGTACACATATAATCTGAACATATTATAGTGTATCAACAAATAGTCAACCTTTATTTCAATGAATGCAGTAAAACTTATAATTGTAATATATTTACTTTTGAATCAAATTCAAATGGTGATTCACACTTCAGGAGGCTGATCTTTTTGCGTGTTTTCAGTCTAAAGGTGTATAAACTAGAAATACTGAATTGCTGGTGTCGTTTACAGGGTTATATTTTTATATTTAATATTAATGCTTGGCACAAAATAACTTCCCCTTGAGAGGTTGAAGCTACCATCCTGTGCCTCTTAAGATGACAAAGCCATTGTGCAGACCAGTAAAAAAAAAAAAAAATATATATATATATATATATATATATATATATATATATATATATATATATATATATATATATATATATATATATATATATAAAATAGAATACATATACTTTATCGTATTATTCAACCAAGTAAAAGTACTGTAGAAGCAGAAATGATAAGTACAGTATTACACTGTAAAACCCCAAAAAATAATTACAGGTTGACAACCCTTTTTGTTTACAAATCTGTCAATCACTTGCTTGACAATAATTATTTCCAGTTCCGGAATAATCAGAGATACAACTTAAGGCACCCAGAGCTACTAAGACCACCTCCTGTGCGCTCCTCTCAGTCCCAGACCTCCATAAAATATCATGGTGTGAAGGTGTGGAACAACTTAACCCCACCCATCCCAGCAAAGACTGTGCTCCCTTCCTTTAAATCATCTCTTAAAAAATATCTATTGTCTAAGTATTAATATTTCTTGTAATAATTACTATATATACAGTACCTGTTTTTATTGTACCATCAAAACCATTTTATCGGAAATTATCATGTAAATAGATAAGTAATTATCATTGCAATACGTAAATATATTTGCCAACTAGACATAATCCTGTCAGCTCTGTCCTCTTGTTCAACCTTAATACAGTACTGTACAACCCATGTTGTACTGCTTCCCCATTATACTTGTGTTTTTCAATTCCACTGTAATTTATATACTGTATATATTTATAATATAAATAAAAAAATAATAATAAATAAATTAAATAAATATTGAAGTGATAACTGTGGTAACATTAAGAGAAGTTCATATTACCACCATCCTATTGTACTATTCCAGATGATAC